CTACCAGGACCTGTACGCGTTCCACGCCCCCGCCAACCCACAGTCACTGCAACCGCTGCCGGGCTACGCCCACCTGGCGGCACCGCTGACGCTGCTGAGCGTGCTGGGCGGGTCCCAGCCAGCGCCGGGACTGCTGTCGGCAGCGCCCGCGGCCGCCGCGGCGGGGGCGAGCCAGTCCCAATTCGACATTGGCCAGTACCCCGATATGACCACCTTGGTCAACCTGAACCACAACATCGTGGTGCCGTTGGTCGAGCTGACGTTTGTCGACCACAAGGTGTGCCTGGTGTGTGGCAAGCGGATCACGCGAGATATGAGCCGCCACATGCGTACCCACCAGGCGGAGCTGAGATTCTCGTGCAAGTTCCCCAAGAACCAGTGCCGCCACAAGCTGGGCAAGTTCAACCGGCCGTACGACTTTAAAAAGCATTTGCTCAACCGCCACTTCAAGTTCGACAACTTGCAGATCAAAAGGTTACACAACTTGAGCGACAAGTTGAACCACTGGGGCACCTGCCCTTGTGGCGAGCGCTTCACGGGCAAGGAGTGGTTGTCGAAGCATATTTTGACCGAGGACGTGACGAAGAAGTGCCGCTTCATTGAGTGAGGTGGAATGCATTAATGACGATTGGTTTTTGTAAACATTAGCGTACTTTTAATCGAAAATAGATTGTGAAAAGTTTGATATATTCACTACTCTGACTCTACTCTGATTCACTGGTGTACCCTGATTCTACTCTGATCCACTGGCTTACGGTAATCTTAGTGTAACAGGCTCACTCTAATCTAATTAACAGGCCTACCCTGGCTTAGTCTAATCCTAATCTAACTCGCCAACTTTAATTCGCTGGCGTGTGAAATTTAACCAGATGAAATCGGGGTTTCTCGCGATTTATTCGCCGCAAAATTACGATACTCGTAGTTGGCCGTAGTCTGTACTTGTATCCTTCGCTCGCGTGGAACCCGGCAGCGGGATGCTTTAGCGACGCTAAACGCTACATGTCCCGGGGACCCTTCTCCGGGGTCGCCTCCTCACCATGACGAAAAAAAAAAAAATGGACAAAATTTTAGCCGGCTACCACGGGCGTTTAGCCAACCTCGTCACTACCTAATTCTGGCTTTTTAGTCGGTGGTCCCCGCCACGTTGCTACTAAGGCGGGGGAGGCGGACCCACCAGTGGCAGCTGGGTATGTGCTGCCATCTACTGCACCTGAGCCCCTGGCGACGGAAGGTCGGGTGCGCATGAAATGGGGAGCAAATACGAGGAATGCCTATGAGCACACGAATAATACTAAAAGCGAGGACGACGCTCACAGTGTCTAAGTAAAATTGGGGTATCATTTAGCGAGGCGAAGTAATTTATGTTTATGGGTGGTCGGGGGGAAGGGGGGGGGGAGGATGGTTTTTTTGTTGTAGGTGTCGTGTGTGGCCTCAAATCTTGGACAGCGGTCGTGGCTGTACCAGAAAGAGGGCGCTAATTATATGCTTGTATATCATTCGGCTCGAGCCAACGTCGTATGCGTGACCGGAACCACAAAATCCACTGTGGCCACCAATCACCCCACCCGATCGCTCCTTGCTATCAAACATCGTATTAGCTAATATAGACGACAATATCTTATACCATTAGCAATTGAGACACTCTGAAATTAATGACGTGACGGTGCATAAGGCATTAAGGGCAAAGCAAGGCGGTCTTTCTTGGTTCGAGAATTTTCGCTGCTGGTGGCGGGCTTCCCCCCTCTTCGTACTAGAGGGAGAACTTATGTCTCTATGAGTGGTAAATGTCACGTGCGCAGTCTTACCTGCAGGATGCGAACCTCGTCAAATTATCCTCCATTCCAACCCACACACCACTCTCGCCGAGCCCTAGAGAGAACCCACGCTTTCGCCCACGAAATGGACGCCTCCGAATTCGACTTCGCCTGGCTTGACGACCACGGCGCGGACGACGCCATGCTCGACCCGCAGGCCCTCTTCGCCGACCTGTTCTCGCTGGGCCCGGGCGCCCCCGGCGCGCCCTCGGGCGCCGTCCCGGCGCCGCTGCCCCACTCAGCGCTGGTGGTGCTGGCGTCCGACTCCCACTACGGCGCTCCCCTGGACTACGACGCCACCCACCACGCCGCCGCGGCGTCGCCCTACCACACGCCCGTGCTGGGGCACGTCCCCAGGATGCTGCTGCTGCTGTATCTGGTGTCGCCGGCGATACCACCGGCGGCGCCGCCAGCGCCCTCAGCGCCCCACCAGGCGCAGTGGGGAGCGCCCCCTGACGACATACTAGCATCTTCCCACCAGGCTGACGGGCCCCCGCCGCCGCAACAGCACCATCTCGGAGCGCCGATGCCCTCGGCGCCCCTCCACCAGCACCCTATGGGCCACCAGCACCCGCGACACCCCCAACATTCGTTCCAGTCACAGGCGCCGCCAGCGCAATTGCCGCCGTCGGCGAACACCGACCTCGCGGCGCCGCCGCCACCAGCGCAACAACCGCCGTCAGCGCACCAACAACAGGCGCGCCCGGCGCCGGCGCCGGCACCGGCGCCTAAGAGGCGCCCCAACTTCCATATCGACCTCCCCGTCCACCCCCACTCCCACGCCCAGCTCCCAGGCCCGCTGGGGCTGCTTTCGGCGTTCCCCACGTTTCACAATTTGCTGCCACACTATACATTTGATGGCGACGACTTTGGTCACGTGACCCCTGGGATGAACCCGCCATCACAAGTACAAAGCGGTTACTTCGAAGGGGTGACCCCGGGGGTTCCCGGAATGCGCTACGACGATAGCCAGGGGCTGCTTTTCAGTCCTCAGGTGGAGCTGGAAGTGAATAACTTTAACCAGGACTTTGGCCGCTATTTATACGAGTCGCACCCTGACCACCACCCCACTGCTGCCGGGCCGGTCCCGACAGCGGTTCCGACGGCGCTGGCGCCGGCGCCCGCGGCGGCGGCGTTAGGAAGGGGCGCCGGGTCCCACCAGAACTTGGTGGCGCTCGCCATGACCCACGGCAGCGACGCCGCCGCCGCCGTGTTAGGCGCTACCACTCCTGGCGCCACCACTCCCGGCGCTACCTCCGGCGCCACCAAATTCCCGCCGCGGCCGCTGATGCTTCTGCGCACGCACTCGCTGCCCAACTTCACCATTGACCGCCAAGTTGTCGGCGCTAAGAAGAAGCGCACTCCTAAGGGCGCCGTGTGCTCGATCTGCGAGAAGTACATTCTGCGCGACCTCACGCGCCACATGCGCATCCACAACGACGTGGGGCGGTTTCAGTGCGTGTATCCAAAACTGATGTGCAACCACAAGACCCAGTACTTTAACCGGCCCTACGACTATAAAAAGCACTTGTTACACATGCATTTCAAGTTTGACGACCCTAAGGGCAAAGCGGCGCACACGTTGACGGATAAGTTGCCGCTGGCGGGCCAGTGTCTGGCGTGTGGCGCCAAATATATTGCCAAGGACTGGCTTGAGTTTCATGTGTTGTCGCAGGACCCGGAGCTGAGGTGTCCGTACATCGAGGGTCTGAGAATGCCCCATAGTGGAATATAGCGAGGGATAACTAACTAGCAATCACTAGTTAGTGGGAGTGGGTGATAGTTGGTGAAAGATAGCAAGAGCTCATTAGCAATTGCTAGCGAAGGCTAGCGAAGGTTAGCCAAATTTTACTAGCGCTTGTCAGTGAGCGTGCGAATGCTAACTAGAACGCTAGTGAGAGCGAGCAAAAGTATTGTGCGAGGGTGAGTTATAGACGGGGAAACAAAAGTGGGGGACGATTAATTTGTGCATGTCCCCGACAAACAATGATACCAGACAGTAAGCAGAATTAGTCAATAAACTATTCCGGTCCTCTAAATTCTACTCAAATTACGTGCGTGGCTCGTTACATTCTATCTACATTAGTTACCGTTAAAAACCGTTTCATTAACAACGCGACATCCCCATGGGTCTGATCCCCAAGTGCATGCTGAGCTTCTCAAACACAAACCGGCCGAACCCTTGGCCGACGGCGACGGCAAAGAAGTACGTCAACGTGTACGTCATCACCGAAAGCATCATCGCGTAGTTCAACATTTCGGGGATAAAGATCAACCCCAAGATTACCGCGTTGCGGAAGATCCGTGTCGGCCACAGCGGGCGCTGGTAGCCGCGGTGCGGGCGCGCCATCGGTTCGATCACTTCGTCGTCCTTGTGCTCCTTTTCATAGTCCTTTTCCAGTGACAGCAGCCCTTTATCGGGCGAGTCTTCCCCGTTGTCTTTTTCCAATTGAGGGTTATCTCTAAACCTGGGGTGGTGCGGGGCGTTAATCTCGGGGTCGGCTCTGAGGGGTCCCATGGCGCATCGTGGTTCCGGCGCCCACACTTTCACCTCGAGATAGATTCGGAGGAATTCGAGCCCTTTGGAAAGCATACACACGGCAAACAACAACAACCAGATGCCAAACTGCTGTGCCTTGTTGGTGGCGGAAAGCGTCTTGAAGAGCACGGGGTAGTTCTTGTAGTCGGTGGTGAACCACATGTGCATCAGCATGGGCATGGCCATCCCGCCCATCGATTCGCCCCCGTGGCGCTTCTCAAACTGGGACATGGTGTGGTGAGGCGGTGGCACTCTCGAGAAAGGGCACGGCTCGAGGTTTATCAATCACCGGGTCGTGAGCAGATTACTCGCCCAATCGAGTAAACCAATTGTCGCACGCCAAGAGCCGATCGCAGACAAAAAAACAAAAACCAATAGCCGCACTCGAACCGCGCACTAAACGGATTTTTTTTTTCACGGCGTGAGCAAATTGTTAGGTCGATCGAGGTGGAGAATTGACTCGTAATTTGAGAATAGCGTGATACCGCGATTACTGTCTGCGCTGTTCGCGTAGATGGTGTGTCGTAGAGGAGTGAACCACTTCTGTCACCATTGCTTCAAACCAAATTTGGGACTAGCACCATATCACTGATGGGAGAATAACTTATTCTGACCACTGATGCCTAGTAATGATAATTATGGTCCATTGTTTCTATCAGAAATCATTAACATATCAGGACATGGAATTTACTCTATATCCATACCCCATTTTTCTTAACTCGGATTGCGTGGGTGTCTCCATTCGTTTCACAGCACAATGCTCTGTTGCTTTTGCCTAGTTTCACCAATTGAGAGCCCCACGTCGCCCCCCGCCTTAGCCGTCGTCGGATCTCTCATTAAAGCCGGGTAGCACCGTGGCGAATGGTGTCGCGCCGCCTTAGACCCATCCACTTCGGTAGGCGTTGTCGAACCTTTGGGCCCCTGCATTTGCCTGTTCGCGTCCGAACTCTCTCCACGAAAAAAGAGAAGAGAGAATTTATTGTAGTCACAAATTTACCAATACCAAAACGGCAATCGAAAATGAAATAACGAAAGATGCAGTAGTTCTTTAGATTGCAAATTGCCCTAAATTGGACTTAAACTAGGCTTAAAACCGTGGTGTCGTGTTTGTACCAGTGGTCGCGGGCCCGGTAACCAGGTGGGGGAACGGCTCTGTGGTTTTCGGCTCGATAGATCGCGCTTAGCCCTCGCCAAAACGACACCCCGGCGTGGGCAGCTAGCGAGTGGGTGTGGCGGGGGTTGCCAAATAACCGTGCATGGCAGCACGCGTATTGCCAACACCCACACTGCGGCCCACACCTCTGAAAAGCTAATATCTTCGCTGCCGGGGCGTGCGTCCGACACCGCCGACACTGGGCCTTGCCTCGATTAGGGGAACACCCACAAAACGACGGGGTAGGTCGAGCCTGGGGGGCTTGGAGGCGGCCGCGTCAGCCTCTCGCCATTGTTTGTTTCTAATTTCAGCCACCACCACTAACAGCATCAATGTCTCCATACGCTCTCAAAAAAACTTATTCTCAAGTCTGGAAAATCACTACCGAATGGAGTCATCACCGCGCAACGCACCCTGTCCGTACCACCAAGCACTCGACGCTGGGCAACATTAGACGTGCCCTGCAACCGGGGCCCTCGTCTCAGGGCCAACCTGCGCTGGTGCCGCCGACTCCCGAGATTCAAGGGATGCACTAACACCCACGCTGAGAGCACGAGGCGCCTAGGGCCCAGTGGTGATAACTCCGGTCGCCCTTGGTAACCCATTGTTCGCACTACTGCTATTGCTGGCTGGCAATCCCATAATTCAAGCAATACCATTATTACTCCCACCACCCCAAAAAACTTCTATCTACCAAACGATTAGTTACAACCCCACGTTACCGTTCCATCTCGGGATTAGATTTCGATTTGCGCGCCAGGGCCCGCCCCGCCACGCCAGTAAACCTTATTGGTACGCCACCCACGACAATTATCCTCGCCGATTCGACAAGCACGCAACCGTGATCTGGGCACACACCACCATCTCGGCAGCTCCTCCCAGACCTTCACTCACCGCGCGTTGCCCCCGCAGGGGAGACATACCCTGCCCCCGACGTAACCAGCACGCCTCGGAGCCTGCCGAAACCGTGCGCTGCACCTTCGCTTATGCCTGTCGTTAAAAAAAATCGTTTACCTTGTAAAGCGTTTCCGCCAGGGTAAATTTAACCTTGAACCAAATCCCCACGGCGAGAACCGCCTTTAACGAAGACAATCTCTTTTTAGGTCGCTGTGGCGCGGCAATACACTAAATCGCCGGCGGTGCCCGTTTTTAGGGACTTTTTTTTTTCTTTTCACGTTGCATTCTCAATTCATGAAAAAAAGACCTGGGATATCCTTGGCGATGATCGTCATTGTAGTGCTACAGTAATGGAGTCAGGTCGTTTCAGCCACTATCTTTCAAATAGTGGTTCAGGCGGGCCACATGAAACGAGATACGAGGCCATCTCGTGCTTTAAATTGAGATTGCCATTCAGGGCAGCGACGACTCCAACCAACCCAAAGAGTTTAGACTTTCCCCGATGACGTGCCCGGGCTTGTAACTAGACCCTGGGTATTCTGTCCCCAAGCAGCCGGCCTCGTCAATGCCGATACCGCTCAGGCTAGAAGCTTAATTGGCCCCCTCCAGTTTTGTGGGCTCACTGGCTATAAATATCGCGTTGCAACCTTGTACCACCACCGTGGGGCCGAAATTGCTCTAATCTATGAAAAATTCAAAAGCTTTTTCGTTTTCGTCGGGAATGTTATTGTCTGATCACCAACATTGTCTACATCAGTCCCCATTGCTGCCTCCGGCGTGTTTGAAGCTTATCGCCAAACTGCAGTGAAGGCTACATTTCTTGGCGGTAACTCAGGGGAAAGTGAATACGAGCGGCTTCCTTGGTTGATTTGATTGCCAGCGGATGCATCGGCACCACCGTGAAAGAGAAGCCATTCATTGTTATCGATATCTATTCCATTGAGGAGTAAAATCTGGCTAATTGTAACCGGAATCTCGCCCGATCACCTGACATCTCATCACGGAATCTTATCGGCTCCCTAACACTTCAGACCTTATTTTGATGGAAAGGTCACAACGCCGCTTTGAGGATATTGTGGAAGCAAGTACCCGGTATGAATGCATTTGTCGACGTCTAGCGTATTACCCAGAGAACTGAGGCTCCCTACTCACCGTATCTGCCGTATATGCATCATTTATCCCTGTAACCACTATACAATAGTCGTCTACAAATCGGCTACACCCTCTGTCATCGTGTCGTTACGTGGTGCTTGGTAACTATAGCCCTAGTTAAAGTGGCCATTTTAATTTAGATAGAGCTGGCATCGGCCACAATTGAAAATGCCGCCGTTTAAAAGCGTAATTCCACGGTGGGATACGCTTGATAACAATCGACATTATTCTTTGTGGATACAACAGGTGGAGACGACGAGGAGATAAAGGCTAAGCGACCGTCTAGCCCCATTGTCTCCCTTTGGCTCGAATTTGAAATGCAAAGATGCAATGCGCAAAGTAGAAGAGTAACCGTCAATCAATTTGCCATTGATGTAATCAAATGAATCAGTGGGTAGAGGAATTTCTACATCTTTAGGGGCTAAACCCGTTTCACTTTTCTTTTTCTCCAGATATTTCGTGGCAGGGCTGCTCCAAGCTTGGAGCATTTTAATTCCCTCATACCCACGCAAAATTCGTATTAATTCTGCTCTGTTACACTCAATATTTTTGCGCTAGCGAATATGTCCTCCATTCGGTAAAGCAACATTGTTTGGAGATTCGCTGGTAAAGGCCATACGGGCGTGGGTCCCCGCTTCTCAGCAGGAGGCATCAATGCCCAACTGGGTGGGGACCACTTTGTGGTATTCATCATCGTACTTGAAGAATATCCTCTGTGCACGTGGATCGAAGTAATCGTTATCAGTCCTCTCCTCCGCCTTAGTCTTTGTGGTGCCCGTCTCAGTGACGTACCAGACTTTTATTCTAGAGTGACGCTTATTGAGGACGATGACCGTTGACCAGACAATTAAGCCGATACAATCATGGTTGATACGAGTGATCAGAGTCGGTTGATCCGAAATTTTCGTATTGCAACCGTCCTCAAAACTTGGAATATTACCGGGCAGAGGACAATGCTTTTGTGGTGCTACAGACGACCAAAAGGTGACACAAACGGCGATGCCAATGTTACATTATTTTGAGTGAGGTTCGAGCTCGTGGTTCCACAATAAACACAGCGCCAGCGGGCCGTCACGTGTCCACGCACAGTACGCCTGCACCGTCCCCCGGCCCGGTTCGTACCAGAACTGTTCGTGGCGGACTTCATGCACTTCTGTAGGGGCGTTACTCATTACTGAATGCCACCAATCAGGATTCCACCACGGGTCGTGGCGCAGAGGCACTCCCGGGAACCGATTGGAAGGAAGACACTCTTTAGGAAGCGCCAGCGCGTCGATGTACTTGACAGAGCCTACTGATGACCACGTCCAGTCGACAAACTTGCCGTCGTGACGGTGAGTGCCCACAAGCAGAAGACGGCGTAAAGTGTGGTCGTGGACTAGCTGGAGCTCGTCGACACAGCACAGGTTTAAGTTGACCACTTGCACCGTAGCCGGCAAGCGAACTGCCAATTTGCATGCGAGTTCCACGCCGATGATTTCCACCAACTGGAGATCATCAGAGTGGGCGAATAGAGTGGATAGATCATTCACAAGCCGACCTCGAACAAGATTATTAAAGTGAGCGGGGATGTGAGTGTCAATGGCACCCACGCGAAGGCGTTTGAGACCACGAGGGAGTTGTGGGATGGTGATTTCCCCCAGGTTGCCGATGATCTCGAGATGTTTGAGATCGAGGGGTAAATTGGTATAATGCAGAAGGGCCTTCAGAGTGATGCGAAGGTGGGCGATAAGCGGTGGGAGCGAGGGGGTTGGCGTCGGCTGGTCGTAGGGAGCGAGGCTGGTGAGATAGGTCACGGTGTCCCAGTCGATGTCCACCGAGACGAGTGAGCACGGGAGCTCCACCCGATCGATATCGGATATCTTAGCCGTGAGGACGTGGGGGGCATCTACCGCCACCCGGGTGAGAGTAGCGTTGGCGGTGATGTCCACGTCACGCAATGCTAAACAGTGCTGTAAGCTGGCCATCCGTAAGAGAGCGTCATTGCCACGAACTTCAAGGGACTCGAGACCTTCGGACCAGCCGGCAATTGAAGTCAATTGAGTTTTGACCACTTCAACTCGTTTAAGGTGCGGGATGTAAGAGAAGTCAACCGACCCTTGGTGGTAGTCTCCCACAAGTTGAAGGCGTTCAAGACCAGTAAATGGGTCGATTGAGAGGGCGTGGTTCAATGTCAATTGGGTGACCCCGTGGGGGATATTCACGTAGCCTCCTTGGAAAATATCCACCCGTCTAAGCTGGGGTCCCAATACCGCCAAATCAAGCACCAGACGGGTGTCAACGTCAAGCTCGAGCTCAGTAAGACAGGGAGGGAACTCGACCACTTCGATGACCCGTTCGGGAACATCACGCACGATTAATCTGGTGGTGGAAGGGGGAATGTAAGATAATTGTTTGAGCCCCACTAATTCCAATGATTTCAAATTAGGCGCTTTAGCAAGCACTGCGTCTAAGGAGTCGGCAGCAGGCTCAATACACACAATAGACTCGAGCTCGGTCAACTGGTCAGGATCCCATCTTACTTCCAGCTTGAACATACGCACCTTTTTCAAGTGGGGCAACTTACCCGTCCACACCGCCGCCTTAGCGCGGTCCAACTCGAGACATTCAAGCTGGGTAGGAAGCACTAAAGTACAGGTAGCATCGTAATATTCAGCGCTTGGAGAATGGACGCGGAGACGCTTAAGTTTGGTTAACGATGCCAAGTTGAAGAAGGCGTGCGAATACCCCACCAACTCAAGGCTAAGTAACGAGTGCTGGAGGTGTTGTAAGTGGTCCAACGGAGCATCGTAGAACCGTGCGTTTTTAATTAAACCTGGGGTGGACCACAGAGTGAATTCGTGGATGAAATCGCAGCTGATCCCCAGGATCCGCGACTGGTACTGTTGAAGCAATAACGAGATTTCCTCGGCCTCCGAGGTCACCATGTGACCAAATATACACTCACGGCCACGACAACACTGGCGGAGATTGACGTCAACGTGGACCTGCGAGAAATGCTCAAAGAACCGACTAAGTTCATCAAAACTTAGCTCACGCTTCAGAGCCACCGGCGAACAACATACGACAAGCGGCAGCAGCACCACCACGGCGTAGACATGGCTCCACGCGTGGAAATGACCACACGCCATCGCCAAATGGAGCCGCTGGCGCGGGGTAAGCTGGCAACACACGAGCTCGATAAGCTCAGGCGGAAGCGAGTTCATGGAATCAAATCGTCAAAGTGAGGTCTGGCAAAGTAAGTGATGACCAAGGGGTGACCATGAGCCAAGCAAGCGGGGCGGGCTAAGGCGATATATGTGTGTTGTCGGTCGCTGTGGCGGGGAGCATGTATGGTATGCACAGAAAAGCAACGGGACAAAGGCCTCAACTCCGGAGAAACACGAGCCACGAGCCCGAGAGAAACTTGGGGCTTTTGAGGGTTAAGGACACCAAACTCCAGTCCGGGGTAAGTATGCGACGTGCAGTGACACAGACACATTAGTCTAGTTTCTTTGTGTTGTTTAGTGATTTATATCGACTGGTGCTCATGGTGACTCGGGACCGCGGATTCGCGGGCGACTCCGAACCCCGACGCCGATGGCCGGCTCCGAGCCATACGAGGCGGGGAGGGCTAAAATACACAAAAACGGGGATATTCTAGGACCATAAGCAACAAGGTAGAGTTATATGAAACACGTAACAGATAACGTGTAAATGCCTGCGTTTACGTACAAGTATGTCGTGTGATAATGCACCCCATACCATGTTAACGACGACGCCGCACCGTCGACGCACCAAGGCACCGCCGTTCACAAAACTATACTCGAGTAATTGATATTACAATTATTGTTGATGGGCTGCTGGGGAGAGTATCCGTTTCAGCACGACCAGGCGCTCGACTACTGGGGCCTGCTTCGTGACATTAAGTCGACGCTGCCGTCTCCCGTGCAACGGGTGGTCAGTGTTATTGTTGAGGCCCAAACATTGGAATATATCGACGATGACGTTACTCAGGAGATCCTAGTTGGTGTGGTGCTTGTATTAGGGTTTACTGATCGCCAATGGCTTAAAAATTACCCTCATTTGAATGACTATTTACGCCAACAAATCAAAGACTTTTTGACAAAAAACCAAGCTGATTGGGACACTTTGTTAAAGCAAACGCCTGATGTTTATTCTCAGTCACTTACGGCGATGGATAAAGTCACTTCGCCCGAAATCTCTGAGTCCTACGAGTTATGGGAGGGAGACAAGACGTGGCTTGCCAGTTGCGACGAGCTTAAACAAGCCCTTCGCCAATTTACCAAATAGTAGTATTATATGGATAATGCAAACGGTATTAGCTAGAGAGAAAATTCTCTATTGATTATCTGGGACCAGGGGTCGATCAGGCGCCGGCGACGAGTCATCGGCAATCGGTTTGGGTTTTACCACCTGGGAATCAGGGTCAGAAGCAGGCGTTTCCGGTGTCTGGGGTTTCTGAGGCTTAGCGGGAGCTTCCACCACTTTCGTCTTCCCGTGTGGTTTCACGATAACGATCATAAAGAGCACCGCCACCACAAGCAGAAGCAAGAAGATAAGCTTACACTTGGTGGTGCGCTTCTGGTACGAGCGCGCTTTGACAAGCTCGCGGTCCAGCTGCTGGAGATCCGCCACCGTGTTGTGTAAGTTATAGTCGATGCGGTCCAATAATGTCCCCTGGTCCACCACCATCAGTTCCATCTCTTTGAAGATGGTCAGAATCTCCAAGATCCCCATGGCAAGCTTAGAAATCTCGCGATCTCGCTGCTGCAACATCAGCAGGTCCTGCTGTCGTGTCTGAAGCACCTGCTTGCTATACTCCTCGATGGAGTCGCCCGGGCCGGCGGGCTTCAGTTCGGTCTCCTCGAGCAACAACATATCGGTTTCGTCGTCGTCATTGTTTAAGAACTTGATGTAGTTGTTCTGTAAATTTCTGAACATCATCGACCGCTCCAGGATCTGGCGAGCGTAGTTCTTTTTGTAATTGGCCAAGATTTCGAGGTCCTGAGGGGTATAGTTGAGGTTGAGCTTGCCGTGGTTCTTTTCCAAGTACTCAAACTTCTTCACCAACACGTAGCACTTTTCAAAATCCTTGAGGATCCGGTAATTGAGCTCCTCGATCAGCTCTTCAAGCTTAGGCTTCTCCAGCTGGTTGACGATAATAAGCTTCTTATAGAGGCCGTTGAGTTCAGCCACCTGGCTCTTAATGAAACCCAAATTGTTACTCAATTCGTCGGCAATCTCAAACATCAGCGGCACTAGCGGCTTCATTTCAATCAGCTGGCCCCCGTCCACCGAGTGGCGCCCGCTGCCTTCACGGAATCGGCGCTGGCCAATAAGGTTCTCCTCTTCATTGAGATCAACTGGCCGAGCTCCACTTCGCCGGGGGACCGTCCGCCGGTACGACAAGTACAAGTTTGTCCGATCTCGAAACATTTGGCTTACTTGTCACGGTGTGTGTGGTTTGCTCGCGGAGTGCAGATAGTGCGCGGTGCTCTGGAAGGTAGCGTGGCGTGTGTGTGTGCGGCTCATTGCAGCACTGATGTAACCTCGGTGCGGCACTGAGGTTACATCAATGTAACAACGATAAAGCTTAGACGGCATTGGCTTAGCCGTAGCACTTGAGGGGATGCTTCGTCGTGCTTCCAACATTGCCTCAACAATAAAGCGGCGCCGTAGCTTATTGTGTGGGGGGGGGAAGCCATTTCGGCGATTAGCCTTAAAATCGCTACGGCAGCATGAGCTATAAGTTCTCTGTGTCCCATTGACAGGGGGGTCTGAGACAATAGCGGGGACTTGCGTGCCGCAGACGGGGAAATTTTACGAACGGGTAGACGCTGCCCCCTGGCCGTACGGGCGCCGGCGTGCTTGCTTTTCTGCCTGAAATTCCGGAATAGAAGGAGCCAGCACTCACGACAGGCGCGTACATCACAACAATACCAAGGAAATACCGGTCCGGGGTCGGCGAGTCTCGGCACGCATGAGTAGTGTCCCGATCATCTATTTCATCAGCGCTAAAACTCTAGAGGGCAGATATTATCACTGTAGCCACGGCATGTAGCAGCAACCTAATCGGCGTGCATTGTTTACTTTGTTCTTGACGAGCGATGCCTGGCAACCCCAGCGGCTCGTGGGTTTAAGGGTGGTATTTGTCCCCTGATATCCGACAAATGTCGGACGTTTTTCCCTGGTAGCTACAGGACCACCGCAAAACTCGCCTGTCTGTGTTATGCCTGCTGTACTATCTGGAGATTCCCTGGTGAAATGTGCTGAGCATATTTCCGTAAAAATGCCGGGAATNAACCGCTCAATATATAGTGCGCGATGGGGGTCTGCTGGAAAAAAAAAAAAAAAAAAAAAACGCTTGAAGTGCTTCGGACAATTTTCCAGCTCCAGCAGTGACGACGAGATAATAGCCGTAACTGCGTCGGGAGTGGCATTTTGCTTGGCACCCATTGTCCTAATAATATCAGTTTTTACCCCCTATTCGCTCTGTTTCTCGCTACCTTACCCCTAGCAATGTCTGAGGGGCAAGAGGTGGCAACTGCCGCCGGTGCATCCAAAAGTGTCTTGCCTCAGATGGCGACCATCCCTTCGTACCTCTCTCCACACACTTGATAATATCGATGTTCCCTTATTTGTGGGGACGCGAATTTTGGGGGTCAACCCGAATTATAATTATAGAAACCGGGGCACGACTTTTTTTTTTTTTTTTACATGGTGCTTTTGTGACATATAGGCAACGGGGTCGGTGTCGAACCGGTCCGAGTGTTAGGCAGCCCTGTTGCATGCCACAAAGACGTGATACGGAAGCTTACACTCAGTTGAGGCTTTACCTATTTATCCGCATTAGACCCGGGCCGGCGGATGCAGGCTTTACCATCGCGTGGACGATGTACCTAAAGCGTCACTGTACTTTGTAGTAAAGATGACTAATACGAGGTAGTTGGTAGGTGCTTTCGAGCTAGCAGATAATTTTAAAAACCCGTGCATATCTATTTCCTTATAATGCTAATGATGTGTGATTTCAAACAGAATGGACCCATAATGTTTTTTATTTTGGAAGCTACCTGATCCCCCGGCGCTTCGGGGCGATTTCTGGGGCTGGAGGTGACTGCGACGACGGTGTCATCGTGAACACCACGTTCCCTTGAGAGCCCACGGGACTAGCAAGCTGGCGCCGTCCCCGCAGAGCCAGGGCGATGGGGATCCCCAGCAGCAGTGCTGATCTCAGCATCAGCGAAAGCAGCCCCGCCAACAGCGTCAAACTGCGCTGGGACCGCGTCCGGGCCCCGAGACTGCCGCCGGGAGAAGCGCCGCCAATGACGCTGTCGGAGGACGTCACGGCAATCCGTGGACGTGCCAGCGACGGCGGAATATACGCGGGAGAAAGGTCCGTCAGCAGCGCCAGTCTCATCGCTTCTGAGTACAGGGGCACCCTCAGCAACTCGTCACCGGAGAGATTGGTAAACGAGTTGCCCCGACTCAAATGTAACGGGGTCAGCAGCACTGAGCGCACCGGGGTCGCCAGCGCCAGCGCCGGGTGGGAGCGGCGCCCACTGGCCCCGAAGTAGTCGTCGTCGCCACTGTTGTGCTCGTAGCTGACGTCTAGCAGGCGCAACCGGTCGTGGAGAAGCTGGGTGTCGATGGTGTGCATCGAGAACATCAGGTTGACGTGGTCCAGCAGATTCAGCCCCGGGAGCGGGGTGGCGGCCCCAGATCCAGTAGGCAGGTCTATGGGCGACACGTCGTTCCAGAGGCGGTCGTAGATGTGGTTCTCGTACTGAGGGGGGGCGACGATACCGCTAGTGGTGGTCGATTCTGTGGGAGTTTGTTGGCCTTGGAAAAGGGTCTCTTCAGGCTCATCCTCGCCATCTCTATAGTGCTGTAACCGGTTCAGCGGCAGCCACATATCGAGCTGCCCTTGGATGGTGACAAAAGGCGAAATGAAAAGCATCACCGGCATCCCCGCGCGGAGCTCAGACGTGTGGCCGTCGGCGTTGATTAAGGCGATCACCACCTTAATCTTGTGGCGCACTTTCAACATGTTTTCGATGTTACAGTCCTGAGTACACTTAGCAAGCAGTGGCGGGATCTGTAAGAACGAGGTGACGTCCCAGTGGTCGTCGTATTCCTGTACTGGCGGCGCCCTGATGGTTTTAGAGCACACTTTGCGCTCCCCGTTATAAGGGGGTGGACTATGGTTAACATAGGTAAACTCTTCCACAAGCTCCATCTTAATATCACCAAGCCGTAGCCCTTTCACTAAGGGTACTAAATTGAACAGTACGGGGAACCCCAGCCCGATGGCGGCAGCTTTAGCCGGTACGTTCAACGAGTACTCCACTTTCCCTGGCCAAGTATTGTCGACAGCCACTGAGTCACTAAGCTCGAGGGCATCAGTGGTTAAAGTACGAACCACTCGAAACCGTTTTTTAGCCGTCAAATGATGGCTGGACAACTTAGCGCTCTTATCTAACGAGGCAACAATGCGGTACACCACTGACCCCCCGGGAAGCCCCTCGACCGTCTCAGGAATCGAACCCGGCAACACTGCTTTAAAAGGTACCTCATAGGCACCGACATTCAACACGTTCTGCTTCCCCATCCCCAGCAATGTCGTCAGCGACAGCTGGCGCAGCAACAGCGTGAACAGGCCAAACGAGCTAAGTTGCGACAGCGACTTGTTTCGTAGTATCGCCGGAGCGGGCAGTTTCTGTTCCAGCTGGCGAATAAGCTCTTCTGTGAGTTCTAGGTCGTCCCAGGTATAGTCATATAACACCCGGTCGTAGCGGATCTGTCGTTGGCGGGAGCCGTGGCCCAGCGCCACCAGCTCCACCTGGTCGATAATCATGGTCGCGGTGAGGCGAAGCGAGAGCCGACGGAAATGGGTCGGCTCCGCCACCACCACCACCACTTTGCCCTGACATAGAGCCGGGTTCGCCTGGTCGGGCGCCCCCTTGATGACGAGGACGTCGCGGTCCAAGTTTGTAAAGCGGACGGCGAAATGGGAGATCTTAGCCATGGCCCCCGACGTGGTGATGAAATTGATGGTTGAGCGTCAGTGGCGATGAGGGCGGGTGCCGAGTTGCTTTTTATCTCGGCCCGATTTAGAGATAGTCGCAGACATTTGATTGTGAGTGTTATGGCGCCGGGGCTCGCAACTGAGGGGGCCCACCCTTACATATTTTATATGAGCTTAACGGGAAAGAGGGGAGCCTGAGAGGGGCAAGGCGCTACCCAACGGTCAATGAAGTAATACCATAAATAGAGAGATGAGTTAAAACAGGAAGGCTTCCTCTGGCGATTGGCTACGAGGGCTGGCTTGAGACATTTGTCGTCCGGGTGGGGGCCGCCTGACGGGCCTTCGTCGTCCATTTTTTAGGCTCGATGAGGGCTCGGTGATTAATGCCCTTAGACCGCTCGTTATCGCTGTGCGACTATCAAATCAGAAAAGTCCGAGGTGACGTGTTTTTTTTTTCTCCGATGTAAGGCGGGACCCATAGTTGACGGGCTTTCTGACGCGTTTTGACGTGTAATGCAACGTGGTAATATCGCCACCTCAACCCGCTTTAAATCGCTATCTATTAAAAGGGCTATGCAAGTACGCACACCCTCAATTAAGACACTTTTTCCGTCATTAGGGGAAAAGAATTAGGGCTAGAACGTAGGTCTTCTTCCGTCTGTAAAGTATAATCCTTTCCGTCTGCAAAATAAATCTTTCTGAGCGATGAGACATACATACGCTGGAGTCACAAACCAGATCGTGTGTTCGGAAAAACTCATCTGTCTTCATGTACAAATATTTGTCGATGCATAACGGAGTTGTTCCGAGATATTATCTATGAGGCACAGTGCCAATAAAACGCACCCTGGGCCAATTGATAAATTTGCCGTGGTATTCAATAAATAAGGAAATTGAGTCCGATTCTTTGGAATGTATCTATATACAGTTGAACACCGACACCCCGGCCCCGGCGACCATCACCGTGCCCAGTCCACCGCTGCAGCAACAGCCGGTGTCGGCCACAGTGGTGTAGCGGGCACTGGCACAGCGCAAGTGGCCGGTGCCATCGAGCTGCCAGCGCCGCACGATCTGGTCCACCAGCGTCACCACCACCTCGTGGCCCTGAAGACCAGCGATCCCCGTAATCGTCAGCGAGGCGGCGTCGGCAATGAACAGCGCCGACTCTAATTGTAGTTGTGTTTGCTGGAGCTGGAGACGGGAGACGGCAAGAGCATTATCGTCACCGCCAGTGACGAGCCAGTACCCACTACCGTGGGGGATTAAGTGCCACGCTTTGATCCCGTTCTGGTGGATCTGTTGTTTGACGACCATCGCTCCGAGGTCCTTGGGTAAGTGGTTAATGTCCCATACAGCGACATGCCCGTCAGTAGCACCAATCATCAAGTGGAGCTTGTGGGCGTCGCCTAAACGGATAAACTCTACTTGTAATATGCAACAGGTAGTGTACACTCCCAGACACACCAAGTCGAATTTGGTGGTGGCGACGTCAAACCGCCACACTTTGATCGCCGAGTCTGAGTATACGGTGGCCACCAAGAGCTGGCCATCACCGTATTCGACTGTGGCAAAGTCCATGATTCTCAAGTCAGGGATATCAGCACTAGGAGGTAATCTGGCTACTTCTTTCACCGTTATCACTGGACCTTGACGAGAAAGCTGCCACACGATAAACTCCTCATTAGCGGCCAGTGACGCCACAAGATCTTTGCCAATGAACTTACACCGCTGGAGACCCAGCACGTGATTATTCATCGTCCAATGTTCAGTCAATTGGTGGGTTTGAGAGTCATAAGTGGAAAACTTGACCGTAGCGTCTTCCAGCGCCGTCACCACCACGTCGTTTTGCCAGCAGATATCGCGGATCTCACGTCCGTGAGTACCTTGGTGGACCAAGCCCGGTTGGTTCTCCTGAGTGAATTGGCGTTGGTACACCGTCAGCTTATTGGTGTAGACAAACTGCCATTGTTTGCGGCCAGACTCCTTACGTACCCTCCATTTGCGGTGGACACCGCCACAGGTATGGGCCATAAGCTCACAGTGGGTGGTCTCGTCCCAGATGTAAAAGTACAGCAGCTTAAACCCGTAGAGAATGAGGTGGTTGAGTTCATGGTCCCAGTAGCCTCCCTCGATGAAACCACGAGCAAGCTTGTTTTGATGAATAATCGATAACTGGCCGTCAGCACTTACTGAACCCACCATATAGGTGCCGTCTCTGACGGTGATAAGCGCTAATTCAGGGGTAATGGCCAGGATCGAGGTGATGGTGTCACCCGCACTTACCCGACGGTATACCTCCTTCGGAGCCGTTTCATTCAACGAGTATACTGCCAATGACACTTGGCGACCACCGACGACCAAGTGGTTATTGATATAAGCCACTGCCAGCACCGTAAACGGCAGCGACGGCTTTTGAAGCTTATACACTTTATAGTTGGTAGCCAGCGTGAATTGCACCACCACAAGGTCCAGGTGCGGGTTCGGCAGCACTAACACCACCAAGTGGGTGTTCCCATCAGAATAGGCCACCATGTTCACCACTTTATCCCCAGGAATCAATAAGTTGTCGATAGTCTTCACCACTTCCATTTCGACGGTGTCAATCACCGCAAGCTCTCCAGAGCGACTGCACACCACTGCCACCAGCAACGGCTCCAACAGCTCGACGAGGGCAAAGTTATTAAGTTTCGACACCCAGTCGTCGCTGTCAACAATGGGTATAAGCTGTAAGTGCTTGACAGCAAGCATGTGCCCTTTTACCGTTACTGCTACCATCCCCTGAGCCGCCAACGCGTACTCTTTAATCAGATCATCTTCAGCTAACGCTTCCATCGAGATCTCAGTGGTATTAAACTCGGTAGCCATCACTTCATTAATATGGTGAAATCTCACTTTACCGTCAGCACCACCAGTAGCAATTGTTGCTGAGTGATCAACAGCATCTACTGCCCAAATGTGTTTCCCCAGATGGACGTGTTCCATCACATGCACAGCCTGAAGCTCGTCATTGCCTTCACTATATTGCCAGAGACGAACCAGACAGTCTTCACCCGCTGATACTATGAAATCTTGACAGAACCGAAGCCCCCAGATTCTCAGACCGTGGCCCCACCCCAGTGCTTTCAAAGTCCCCAGTTTATAGTCGTAGAGCTTAACCAGACGGTCATCGGAGCACAGTACTATTTGGGTACCGTCTCCACTAATCTGAACCCCAAATATCGAACCTTCATGGTCTTGGAGACGGTGGATAATGGCACCACTTCCCAAATCCCATACGATCACCCCGTCCATCACCGTACCGGCTGCAACCACTGGTTTGTTTTCAACAAAGGCAATCAGCCCGGAATAAAGGATCAGTTTCTCAAGACAATGGCGAACTGATTCCACTTTATAAGTGTTGGTGTTGATGGTCATCACCGTGTTGTGTGAGTTGAGTAATGCTACTTGGTTTTCGCCAACAAACTCACCACAAATGATCCATTCATTAGCCAACTTTTCAGCCACGGTAAGCTTCGGTTGCATCAACTGAGTTAACGTGGACACCACGTAGGATCGAGCACCGACAATAATCACGTTATCGGAGGGCGACACGCCGATATGGTGGATCTTATTGCGGTGGAAAACCTGGTGGCTGGCGACTTCCACCCCCAGCAGCCCCTGGAACACCTTGAGGATAGGTCCGTAGCCACATAAGAGGTAGTCGCCAGTGAACTTGACCGCCGTCACCGGACCGTAGTGGGCGTAGGGTAGTATCGCCGCCTCGGCCACCAGCGAGATGGGGTTGGCCATTAAGGGTCGCGCGATGAGGCTCCGGTGCGTATTCTAGACATGATTGATCGATGAAACTAAGGTGAATAACTGTAATTTGATACATCAAGACAAACCATTTTAGTTTTTATTTATGTTCGTTATACTCGAACATTTTCTAGCCTCTTTAAATCTCCCTTTTCATGACTACATTTGCTGTGCCTAATCAACCTAATCTCTCAGACACTGAAAAGTCCAAGGACCATGGTTTAAACTAGTTGATCTAATGACTATATCAATTTGGTTTGATGAAGAGGGATGCACCCAAACTGCCGTGGTCACTGTAAAGGCTCAAAGTAACGACATAGCCAACAATAGACTCTCATTGTTATCACATGGTGCCATCACCGGCAAAAGTTTTGGTCCACAATATTGCAAGACCGACACCACCACGTAATTATATAGGTAGTAGAATACTAGTCATGTTTATCCGAGAGCAGACTGCAAGCAGGGGCGTTGACACGATAAACTACCGTCCAAAACCACGTATTGCCTCCAATACCTCAGATCTTCCACCTTTCTCGTTAGGAATTGATGCTTCGTCAACCTTATCCACGGTTTTGCATCGTCAAGCTTTTCAATGAATCTTACCACGTCATAGAGTACAAGCTGAGGCGGAGCCAGTCTGAGAACACTCCCCGCGTTTGTTGATATCACTCCAAGTCACCCTTGCATCCCATGCGTGTTTGAAAATCTCCAAAGCGACAAGCGATGACTCTTTACGCGGCTAACTATGCAATGCCGTAGGGTTCTGCTCATAGCCATCCCTGAAGTCCTTGCCTTTGAACCTGAAGAAGTAATGCGACTTGGTGTCGATGGAGAAATTGGAGTGTCTTTGAATAAGTGCTCTCCGCGTAGTGTCGTCAATCTCAATGCTCCTTAGGGGCAAGAACCATTCGTGGCCAAACGCTCGTATTACCATCAGTGTCATAACCAGATGCTCTCACAATGAGAATCGAAATTGCAAGCAATGATTCCCTGGTTTGGCAATCAATTGAGACCCATGGCCATTCAACTAGCGATTAAGCAATCCAGCATAGCTTCCTTGGCCGATTTCATCAGGCTGAGTCCTCTTTCGTAAGTGGTGTGATAAGGGTCGTGCGAGTCAATCGTCTCACAATATATACAAACGCGACATGGGCACGGCTGATACACTCAAAGTACGGTTGCGACTATTAATTTCTGTATTCTACGTAATGGTTCTTTCACTCGTGTAATATCGACTGCTTTCTTTTGTATTGACCGAGAGTTGTGGACCTATCCCCTTATTTGCGTATCTACACCTACAGTCTATTTGTACTAAACTCGATTAGAAAGAGGCACATTAAGTGGTGGCGCGTCGCCTTAAATAACGAGGTAATGAAGAATGAACTTCATGAAGTTGCCCTCATCTTTTTCTGGAGTCTACAACTCTTTCTTGAATAAATTTGTTAATTGATTGTATGACTATAAAGCTATAGACCTATACAAATGCCTATACATGCTACAAACCAGACCCCGAACCTACAAATATTCCTGGGAAGGGAGACCCATCAACCCCCCTTACCAGTCCAAACTTGGCCAGTGACAGTCGATGGGGTGCCATCAGTTTTCGCGCAAGGTCCAAGCATACACTTGTGGGCCGACCAGGGCTAATCTGTCGTTGCGGATACAATCAGACGGGTGTGTCTTGCCTACCGCCCATGGGGGATGTGTATAACGGTGCACTATCTCCCCGCCTACGGGATGGTCATGGAGTGTGTTACTGGTTGCAGCGTGACAGAACACGAGTCAAGTCCAGCGAGCAGTCGGCTCAGCCGCCAATCCTTATGAGTTTTTGGTGGCTAGGCGACCTATCAGTAAACAGCGAGTATCAAGTAGTAGTATCAGCAGCAAATAGTAGCATCAGCAAGTAGTAGCATTAGCAGCAAGCAGTAGCATTAGCAGCAAGCAGTAGCATTGGCATTAGCAGTAGCATCAGCAAGTAGTAGCGTCAGCAAGTAGTAGCGTCAACGGCGAGTAGTAGCGTCAACAGCCAGTGGTAGCTTCAATCAGTAGTGTCAGTCGGTATTGAGAACCATGTTTATAGGTCACAGTCCCGGTTGGTGGCAGACCAGAGTGGGTTTCAACTCATAGTAGAAGTCGCCAAGTAGAAGATTTTGATGATGGAGAAAAAGAGCGACCAGCCCGCCTTTTATGTTGTCGCCGAAAGGCCATTCCTGGATATAGTGCCCCCCTAAAGTCGGGTGCGTTCTTTGTTTCCGACTTGACCCGTCTAAAGTTGACGACGCATAGCGTTCCCCGCATTCCATGAAGTTCTTCCCATTTTGCAATGGAAAATTTTAGCTGAAAAACTCTATAGAAGTTGACGACTCTGGGCGAATGATTTACGACACAGTTGTAGCTGACGGTTCAGTTTGTTCAATCTCCACATCGCTTCATCTTTGTGGAGTGGTCGATGTGGCCATATGCATGTCCTCAAAATCCCGCGGTTAGATTACCTATTTGGGAACGCGTAGCATACTCAAGCTGGCCAACTCAGGTCTAGACCACCTCACATGGCGACGATTATTATATTGGTCACCATTGTTACGTGAAAACTTTTCATTGGACAACATCTTCGCCCAGTCGAGAGTAAGTCGCCGAGGCTGACTGGGTTGAATTAAACTAAAACTTCATTAAAAGTGAAGTCTACTCGAAGCGAACTACCACAGAAACTGGCATATTTTATAATTTTAAAGTTTATTTCACTGCCCCACCACTGCTTCAAAAGGATTTAACGCCCAATGGTCTTGTGGCCGTCCAGTGGGCGCCGTACCTGCACCCCAACTCCGTCAAAAAAGCCTGCATGACGACGCGTGTACGCCAAAGGTCGTCTATAAGACAAGTGATCAAATCTCTTCACCTACTTTGAACTGAGGGCCAATAAGCTGAGATGATATGCTTTTCAGGCTGAATGCAATAATTTACGCTCTTCTGCGAGAGACTCCAATGCATTTCCAATTTTCATAAACTACACACGGCTGTGCGAGATGTCTTATCGAGGCTCACGCAGTCGCGTGATGGTTTCTTTTGTGGCGGGTATGAAGTCAGCGCTTAATTCTCGGAGGTAATCCTAGACATTCCCGGTATTCTCCAGAAGACATTAAACTACGCCTTCCCACTATATATTTCATTAGTTGTATGAATAATACGACAAGAAGAATCGTAAAGTTGTCGTTCCTGCTATTGGCGGTGGTGAGATTAACTGAAGTAAGTTGAGTAATAAGCTGTCATTACGTCATCGATAGGTGTCACTCTAGTTGCACTTCTCCAACTGGCGTTGCCGTCTGCTGGTAAGTATAAAAACTCGAGCCCTTATCTCAAAGTGAGAACACAAATTTTACTGACCATTGACCACGAGAATTACGACGAATACAAAGAATTGTGACAAAAGATACGTCGCCAGTGGCTGATACACTTAAGTCCGGCGACTACCAACAGGTCGCTAACATTGGGATCCAAGTCTCGTGAGTCATTCTTAACAATCCATGATGCCGGTTTATGAGGATATGCTCTTTAAGGAGTTCAATAAGCAGGGGGAATGCCTCATCTGTGGCAAAGTGATTAAACGATTTTTTGCCAGCCACATAAAGTTACATAAGGACCACAGCAATTGGGATTTCATGTGCAAGTTCAAGGCCCTTGGCAAGTGTGACTATAACCATTCGTCAAAAAGCCCTTCTTATTGCAAAACACATATGCTCCAACGCCATTTTAAGTTTGACGACGACTACGTTCCCATTGATCGCCAGGAAGAAGTTTATAAGCACGAAGGAACGTGTGAATGTGGGTACCATGGAAATTCAAAAACGTGGCTAAACGACCATGTGTTGAAGAATAAATGCCCCTTGTTGAAACCTGATGCAATTGTTCCTCCGCGACCTCAGTACCTATGCTCTATCTGTGACAGAAGCTTTGGACGCGAAGTTGACTGGCTTCGCCATCTCCAGTCCCATCGAGGCAACTGGGACTTCACGTGTAAGTTCAAACACCTTGGCGAGTGTGGCTACCGCAAGGAACCCTTTCGTAAACCTTGGGGATGCATCAGACACATGCTCAATGTCCACTTCAAGTTTGACAAGTTGCGGAACACATCTAGATTACCTACACGTCGAATGTACCAAAGTTATGGGAAGTGCAAATGTGGCTACAAGGGTCGGGCCAAGATCTGGGTGGACGACCACGTCTTGGGAGACCAGTGTCCTTTAATCAAGGAGCCGTCTGAGTCTGATGCTGGAGAATAAGTTTAGCGTATTTTTAGGAGAGAAGTATCAATCTAACGAAATAGCAACTGCAGCAGCTTCGGTTGAATATGTCTATTTGGTAATTATTGACGAGTTTTTGCCGGGAGTTAGTCTTGTTAACTAGCACTCCAGACGGTCGTGCCAGCCGATGTGTTCGTCGTGCTTGGGCAACGTCGCCACGTACAGGGCGGTGTCGGCGGCGCGACGGCGCCCTTCGACGTAGGTCATCATCTCCGAGTACAGCTGGGGGATCACCAGGCAGAACTGGGTGTGTTCCAGCTTGGGCACGAAGAACGAGAAGATAAAAGTACCGGCGTCCTTGGTGGTGTCGCCGTCCAACAGCTTGGTGCGGGTGTCGACCTTAACCTGGATCACCGTCCCCGGCTCCGAAAGGAAGGCGTCAGGGTTATCGCTGATCAGGTTGGTTGCAGGCAACTTAAAGTCGAACGGCAGGTCCAGCACCGCGGTGGAGCCGATGTCGTGCAAATGCTCGGTGTAGGCCACCAGGGCGTTCATGGTGAGCACCAGCCCCACGGGGACGGGGTTTTTAAACGTGACCAGGTCCAACGACACAAACCGCGGCGGCGCCAGCGAGAACTCACCAGCACACACGTAGGCGAGCTCAAACAGCTGGCGCAACAAGTAGCCCCCGAAGATCATGTACAGGTGGCGGTTGCGGTACTGAGGCTGCATCAAGATCGCCAGCAGCATTAACGTGTCCTTCATGAACTGGGTCAGCTTGGGGATGGGTCTCCCCAGCTCGATCATCACTTTCGTCAGCCGCCACATGTTGTAGATCAACTGCAGTTCCTGTTCCGTGGGTTCGATGAGCTTGTGGTGGCGAGCCAACAACTTCTTCTTGGCGTTGTGCGATTCGGCGCGGCGGTAGTCGATCCATTCCCGCTCCAGAATTGGCAATAACCGGTTGACGGCAAACAGTTTATGGGTCTTAGGGTCACGAGCGACGAACGTGAAGTTAGCCGTCAAGAACACTTTATCGTCGGCAAGCGTATCCTCGTCGATCTTGGCAGGAATAGTATCGTCGTAGGCGTAACCCTTAACGGTGATCTCCATCGACAGTCTCCCTGTCCACGTACAGGTACCGGCAAGCACGAAGTTGTAGTGAGAAATCTCGTCGACTTTCTTCACCATGTACACTCTATCAACCGAAGCAGTGACGTTCATCGGCTCCGCGGGAGAACAGTGGCGGTGGGCAATACGGCCAGCAAGGGCATCCAAGTCCTGGAACAATTGACCCACACGCAACCGGCCAAAGGCGTTGATGTAGGCGTCACACAACCACTTGTTATCCTTAAATGGGAGACTGACATAGGTGAACGAGTCGGCTCTCGTCTTCTCCTTAACATCATAAGTCTTGGGGTCATTGAACGAGTACGAGTCAAGAACCACACCTTGAGCTAGCTGCTTTTCTCTCTCTCTTAACGCATCGAGCCAGGTAGCTTTAGAAGGGTTCACTGCTTCCTTAGCGGCGAGCACTTCTGCCATCAGCGCCGGCATCGAGTGGAGCGCCGAGGCGACCTCGTCGCTGCCTGGGGAAGACTTGGTCGAGTTGAAACGACATCGCTGTACGCCGTAGCGGCTTAAGCGGGTGCGTAATAGCGGTATCCGAAGCAGCATTGCTGGTTTATTAATGGGGCTTCTTCCCTTTATGAGGTGGTCGGTGGCTCAATTATATGGTGTCGCGCATTCCTAATTGTTCCGGGTACCCCGGGGCTTACTAAACACGCACTGAGCCAAGTAACGTCAACGACGTCACGAAATAATAGAGGAAGATGCCGAAAGATTGCAGGGGAAGATAATGCCCGACAGCGGTGCCCGACAGCTGGTTTCGGATAAATGGAGATTGACTACCGAAAAAAACGTTGGGTGGAGGCGGGGTGACTCTGAGTCGCCCGGGGAGCTTCCCCTCCTTTGTAGTTGCCAAACAGGTAACCGCTAGCGAAAATATATTCAAGATCCCCCTCGTACCGCCATCGTGCCCACCCAACAAACACTACCAAGATTGCCAAACCATCTGTGTTATTTGCTGGGTTGACGTTGGGTATATCCCGGGACAACACGGATGAAATTCGTTGTTACTTCTAGCTTTCCGTACGGCTGAAAAAAATGTCGGACTCCGCCGTTGCCCGAGTCGCAACCCTACAACATAAATTTTATACGGCAGAAACGGGTTTTATTATCCATTATAAAATCGTACTCACAGACTCCATCAAGGAGCCAAAACCGGCAATCGCCGAAACCAGAACTTGATCATTATTCACCGATTAAGTTTACACCTTATATTCGGCGTCGATCTTCTTCAACAAGTCCAGGTACTTCAGCTTAGCGAACTGGGACCCACCGCCGTCGGCGAGCTTCTCCGAGTGCACCAAGCGGGCCATGTTGACAAACTCTTGCTTAGTGAATCCCCACTTGTTCTCTTGAACCTCGGGTAAGAATTTGTGTTCGTTCAAAGTGAACATTTCGTAGTAAGCCACCAGCGGTCCAAAGTCAGCCCCGTCACCGCCACTTAAATTGCGTACCATCTGTTGAAGCACATAGATATTAAGCATGGCTCGTTTAACACCGTAGGCGTTAACCTTTTTGATGAGGAAAGATCCTTGAACCAACACTTTATTCAAGAACGCATCGAGGCCGCAGTAGACGTGGATCCGTTGCTTCTCAGTAAGCAACTGCGAGAGCTTATTATTAATCCCGTAGAGCTCCTTGTTAAGCACCAGCACGAACCTATCAGCATCGGCAGGCTCGCTCAGCGGACACCAGTCGTCGTGGCTAAACAGCTGGCCCAAGTAGTGGAGCGCCTTGCACCGGATGTCGTAGCGCAACGCAAGCAACGCGTGGTCGGTCATCGTCTCAAACTTGCGCACGTAGTCGTCGAACTCGGCGGTGTGGTGGGTGTCCAACGCCAACTGGACCATGTCGAACGTCAGGAACGCCTGGTGCAATTTACCCGATTCCAAGAACTGCCATTCCTGCTTTAATCGGTCGACTTTAGCCATCTGTACTCCTTTCTCCGGGACCGAGGACGCTTTATTATCCTGATCGTCAGTCAGGTGCACCAGCGCCGCTTTAACTCCAGGGAGCCACCCTAACACCCACGTACCAGTAAGCAAGAAGTAGCACAAATGGTCAAACAGCTCGTCGTCGAGGAAGTCGTCAGGACTAAGCCCTAAGAGCTCGGGGTCAGTGGCAAACATAATCGTCACTTCTTTTTCCACCATCTGGCGGCGGTGTTCGGGGTTCTCGTCATCAGCATACAATAAGATCAGCGAGATATCCACAAGACTGGGCACGCGAAGCCATTTCAGAATCTGCAGTACCGGTTTTTGCAGATGGTTAGGCATATGAGGTGCCAGGTGACCCGAATCAGTAGTGATAAGCTCATCGTAAAAGTGACGGTAGGCCAACACAAACTTGCCCAAAAAGTCGAGGGCCACCTTTGAGTAGTGACGACGGTAATTGATCAGCGTGTTAAGCACCAGACACACTGTCAGCCACACTTTACGGAAGTCGAACGCGTTCTGGTAGATGATTGCCGTCGACTTAAGCAGCTGGTCGCGTGTCACTGCTAATGTATCGGTCTCGGTATCCTTTTGGTGGTTGATGGTAATGGTATCGGTCTTGAACTGGTGATCGTGGCCGATAACTTCCGAAAACACGTAGTCCAAATTGTCACGCACCCGGCCGAGGAACTTATACGTCATGTCGTGGTCAAAGAGACGTGACGGTGCCATTTCCACCGTCCCATCATCTAAAGTACCGCCAATGATCCCGAGCTTTTCAGCACCGGCAACAAACAAAAGGTAGAACTCAAGGATGATTCTCATGTTGAATAAGTCCTTGGGAGCCAACACTTCCACCATGGCGTTAAATTGCTCGCTTTCCACGTAAGGTGTAGTATTATCGATACCACCTCCCAATGGGTCAAGCAGGAACAGCGGGAACATGTCCTGCATCATTGCGTGCAATTCTTCCAGCGACGTTTGCGGGATTTCAGCGTCCTGGAACCGGAACAAGTCTCCCTTTTTCTTCACTTCATTAATGGCGTTCTTCAAACTGGTGTGGATAACGTCAGTTTGCCGCTGCTGGTTGTAGATATAGTTATCGATGATCACCCCAATCTCCTTACGAATCGTCCGCCACACGCCATTAATGTTATAAGAGGCTTTAGCTTCGAGTAAAGGAACAATCTCCAGCACCACTTGGTGCTTCATCAATACCACCAACAGCTGAGCGAATATGGCACTGAACAACTCCACGAGCACCACCACGGCGGTATCAGAAAAGTTAGGGTCGCCAATCACCACCGTCTGGTGAGTATGGTCAAAGTTCTGGAGCTTCAGCAATTTTTCAATGGCGCCAGTGTGGACGCTCTTCACGTACTCAGTGCACCGGTTAATCACGTTGTGCAATTCCAGCTGGGCTCGCTGCTCCAATACTGCGGTAACTTGGTGTAATCGACCAAGCTTATGCGCCGTAGCTAAGAGCAAGTACATGTACACGTACAGTTCTTCGGAGGGGGAAGCGGTGGTATCCAACACCACCTTATAGTCGACTTCCTGAGCCACCGTCTGCGAGTGGTGGTTGTGGAGTCGGGGCAATTGGCTGGAAATAAACGCCTTGTGGGGGCCCAAAAACACGTCGGCGATCTCGGTGGTGTCCATGTTGGCCAGGTTGTAGATGAACTGCTCAAGCAGGGCCAGCTCCTTGAGGTTGCGGAACAGGACCAATTGAGGGTTGTTCAGCGCCATGAGCGCCTCGCGCGTCGCCAGCAACAGCACCTGTTTGAGATAGATCTCCAGGTGGAGCTCGTCGATGATGGTGTCGACCATGCCGTTAGAGATCAGCTCTAACTGCTGGTGCACTCCGGCAAGCGCTGGAAGCGTCCACAACTTGTATTTGTCCCCCAAACGGAACCCTTCAGCGACGACGTCATACACCATGTGGAGCTTTTTGTCCGCCACCAAGGCGTCGACCTGGTCAGGTATTTTCACCACCACGTCGATGGCATCGAGAATCTCAAGTACCTCCACTAAACGTGTTTGAGTAGTGTGCAAATCGTGGAGGGCGTCACTCAGAGTATGCATTTCCAGGGTCAGAGTGTCCAACATGTCACGTATACCGGAGGCATCGTTTTCCACGCGGTCAAGCATCGGCAACAACGCGTGGTACAGCCGGATCAGCGAGTTGAACGCCTCGTACTCGTCGTTGACCACTTTGCGCAACGCCCGCAGCGTGTCCCTCTGGATCCGCTCAAACTCGGGGTACTTGTGAGCCATACCCACCAGCGTATCGTCCAATAATGCCACTGCAAGCTCAATGGGGTTGGCACGGTCGTCAAGCATCTGGGGCCAGTCGTATTTCAAGTTGTTAAAGATCTCTTTAAGCTCCATTATCCCCAGCAGCAGCAGCAGCGACCCGACATAGTCGTCGTCGTAGCCAGCAGCAGCACCCGATTTGGTGCGAGAGTGGCTATACCGGTCGACTTTGGCCACTCGAGTATCGGCAGCATACGTGTCGTATTCCGCTCCCCGTGTATCATCATACGAGTCGTACTTGCCACTTCCTCGAGAGTCGTCATAGCCGTTATACTTAGCTCCCCGCGTGTCATCATAGGGATCATATTTGGCTCCTCTTGCCTGGTCGTAGCTGTCGTATTTGCCGCCGTCATATTTGCTGTCGTACTTCCCTGACTGGGGCTCGTCGTAGTTGTATGACGACGATCTCGGCGGGTCGTCGTACCGGTTAAACGTCGCCAGCAGCTGGACGGGCGGCGACAGCAGGTAGTGGCGGGTGTTGTTGTGGGTGGTGCGGTAGGCGGAGTACCCCAGCTTCAGCGGCTTCGCGTACGCCAGAGCCCCGTACGACGTCGGCTTGTCGTAGGCCGAACTGCCGCCGCTGCCGCCGTAGCCATTGGCCTGGCCGGCGGCACGGTCAAACGAGCGCAGACTGCGGTGGCCTCTCATGGTCGCTGTCTCCGTCAAGATCGCACCCGTGAAAAAAGGCGAGCACACCGTAAGACTGTTGACAATGGCTGAGACAGGCTTAGAGATGGATGGCTATATTGTGCTTTCAAAGTTTGTTTGACCAGTTTTGGTTGAAATAATGGAATTGATTGAGGCACAGTAGTTTTCTTTTTTGGATTTATTTGGTGTTTCCATAGTGGCTGTGATTGGCATAATTATGACTGTTTGATATGGTCTTAAAATAGGTCAAACTTGCTAAAAGAACTACTAGTGATGATGATAAATATATAATTGTCTTTATTTGTGGAATTGATGCTCCTCAAGTCAGGCTGTGGGGGTCCTGAGACTATTGATCCAGATCATTCAATATCAATTATCAGTCGATCCTGGTGTTGTTGTCAGTGATTAGGAGTGATCCAACAATGCATAGTCACCGTGAGCTAGCGTGGTTATATATTGGAAGACTTCTCGATCGTTGATTTACGATTTTGAATTACGTTGCTCATTAAATCTATTCACAAGCTACACTCGGTCCTATCGAATTCAGAGGAAGTATCCACCGGTTCTTTCTATGTGTGAATTGTATGTTTGCAATAAATAAGCCATGAGCAATACGTTATGATTTGCCTCAGTGGAAAAGTATATTTGTAGCACCAGATCTTGTTCTTGGTCAATGTACTGGGCAAAAAAACATCCAGAAGATCAAGACCAAATTCAAATGAGGGAGTTGTAACACTCTTTGACAAAGTATTTTACTCCACTTAGTCCAGCTTCTCAAGCCTCAAAATGAGATGCAGCCAGCTCAAGCAGATTATCCAAATTGTGGAGAACGTTGATGGCAGTTCCGTCTTGTCAATCATCACGTCTCCGTTTAATCAGCCATCACTTCCAAGAGGCGTTCGACCACTTCCTGGATCTCCGCTGCCGATGGAGTCTGTTTCCGTCGTTTCAAGGTGAATGTCGCTGCCTTCACCGTAAGCTGGTATAACTGTTTTGTATGGTCATCAGCAGTCGTCAATCCTCGTATTCGGAGCCCCAGCATCACTGATTTGGCCACGGCTTTACTAAGCTGGATTTCCGGTTGTGGCGGTCTGATTTCCGGGACCAGTTTCCGTTTACGGTGGTCCATAAACTGATCAAGCACATTGCTCTCGGTTCTCTTGGCTTGGGTGGCTTCTGGTGCTGGTGTTTGGATCAAATTTAGGGGTTTCACGCAGGCATTGACAGGACGGTCAAGTAAGGAGAAATCAACAATAATGAGGCCTATGCCTGGTTCTCGATAGTAAAACACGTAGAGACGGCCCAGTTGCTTAGCCTCAAACATCACCAGCACCGGTTTCACGGCCACGGAGGGGGCAGCCACCATCTTGCGGAACCAGTCCTCAGTGGCGGCATCTTTGGTATACACAGGCACTGCCAGCGCTCGGATCACCGCTAGCGGGATGCGGTGGTGGTCAAAGTGGTTGCCGAAACGATGGGCTTCGTCGTCGACGGGGACATCGCCGATTATCACCTCGAGTTCCGCGTCGCCGTCGACGAGCCTCATGAGCCTCATCGCGCCCCACAATAAGCATATTGGTAGTCAGAGACAGTTCGGGTATTAAAATTGTTATTTAAAACTGGTGGAGATGGAATTGACATATCTAGGGAACTACTGGTTAAATTGGGTAATAAATTGGGTAATAATTGGTGAGGGCAAATTGGGGCGACAATGGATGGTTTTGCTGCCATCGTGGCTAATGTAAACATAGAGAGTGGCCAATGCGGAATTAAAGACTACATAATCCCTAGCTTCTACCCTCAAACGTTTACCTTCAACCGGATATCGACAGTAGTCCAATGAATTGCCAGGGGACCACAAAACCCGAGGTCGCTCCGAATCGGCTCACTTTGATAACAAACTAACGATGACACTAGCAACACTGATGCTAACCAGCCGAAACTAGCCGAGTCACGGATATTTAAAATCAATGACATCGTTGATGTTCGTTATCGTTAACTGATCATTAATAAGTGATTACAGGGGGACGCCATTGTTCTCGATTAACCCCACTTTAACCACTACGCCACCCACCCCGCCTAACCACTGACTACCAGTAATTCTCTAAGCCAACCAAAAATTGTAAGCCACGAATTATTAGATTACACTAGTGACGACTAAGAAATACTATCACAAATAGCATATCTAGATATATCGTAGTGTTCTCTCTCTTGCCTCGGGTGTGGCGCTCATCTCGAGTCGCACCTGGGGCAATTCGTCTAGTTTATCACGAGGGGCACACTGACGGTGAGATCATGTTATCGACCCGAGTATACTCGAAGGCACGAGTATACGCCGACGTCAACGCCCACAAGCCCAGGGAGTACTGGGACTACGAAAACCACCAGATCGAGTGGGGGGACATCCGCCACTACGAGATCATCCTGAAAATCGGGCGCGGGAAGTACTCCGAAGTGTTCCAAGGGGTTAACGTCCTCAATGACGAGCCCTGTGTGATCAAAGTGCTCAAGCCCGTCAAGCTTAAAAAGATCTATCGCGAAGTGAAGATCTTGCAGAACTTAACCGGCGGCCCCAACGTGGTGGGGCTCTTGGATATCGTCCGCGACGAACAGCTGAAGATCCCCGCCCTCGTGTTTGAAAAAGTGAATAATGTTGATTTCAGAGTGCTCTACCCCAAGTTCACCATCGCTGACATCCAGTACTATTTTACTCAGTTGCTTATTGCCCTTGATTACTGTCACCTGATGGGGATTATCCATCGCGACGTCAAGCCGCAAAACATCATGATCGACCCGTTGCAACGCAAATTGCGTTTAATCGACTGGGGGCTCGCTGAGTTCTACCACGCTGGTACCGATTTCAACGTCAGAGTGGCGCTGCGATACCACAAGGGACCGGAGTTGTTGGTCAACTTACAGCAGTACGACTACCTGTTGGACTTGTGGCTGGTGGGGTGTATGCTTGCCGCCATCATCTTCAACAAAGAGCCGTTCTTCAGAGGCGACTCCAACAACGACCAGTTAGTCCAGATTGCCAAGGTGTTGGGCACCGACGACTTGTTGGCCTACTTGGCCAAGTACGGGCTTAAACTCAGTCCCGAGTACGACGGCATCTTGGGCAACTACCCCCGCAAGCCGTGGGAGCTGTTTATCACCAAGGACAACCAGCACATGGCCATCCCCGAGGTGGTGGACTTGATCGACCGGTTGTTGACCTACGACCACCAGATGCGCCCCACCGCCAAGGAGACGATGGACCACCCGTTTTTCAAGGTCTAAAAGGGTGGGTGTGTTTCTACTTGGTTTTTGAACGGTGTGCGTGCTATAGTTTATAGAGTATTTTAATATCGCTTGTCTTTTTTTTGGTCGCCTATATATCTCTAGATCTGCCATCGATGACGTCATCGGCTCGCGCCGTACCGGTGCATGACTTCACGTGGTCCAACCGATAACACCGCAAACTACTCCAGCAAACTCCCGCTACCCAACCCCTGCTCCACTTTCCCTACCACTCCACCCTCCTTATCGAGTCCCAATTACCCCGCTCCATGCTCAGCGACGTCGACAGCGCCGCGGGCAGTGCCTCCGTGTCGCCCCAGTTGCGCCCGTTGTCCCGCAACAACCTGACGATTTCCCTTGGAAACGTGTTATTCAGAGACTTTGACTTCGGTTTCAACCTCGATGGGGCCGCCGACAAGTCCCGCAAGAAGTTCCACGAGATGCGGTCGAAAACCGACCGCCAGCTCAAGCTGTTTAAGGACTACCCTAAACGGAAGATGGGCGACGTCCACCGGCTCCAAAAAGAGCTTAACGCTAAAGTCCACGAGTTTGACGAACGTATCCATAGCCAATTGGTCAGTCTGAACACGGAAAAGGCGTTCTACGCGTTTGCCTTGTGCTGTATCTTTGTCGCCGGTTTGATCATCGGCAAGTACCCCGAGCACTTCCACGTGTTCCACACGTGTTTGTTTGTATTGCTCATGCCCATCAGATTCTATACCTATTTTAAAATGGGCTACGAGTACTATTTGGCCGACTTGTGCTACTATGTCAATTTGTTGGTGATGGCGTTTTTGTGGCTATTCCCCTGGCTGCAAAATCTTTTCATCTCAGTGTTCTCATTGCTGTTGGGGACGCTATCGTTTGCCGTGATCACTTGGCGCAATTCGTTAGTGCTCCACCTGATTGAGAAGACGACGCTGAGTTTTATTCACATTATGCCTCCAGTGACGATGTTTGTCATTGTCCACGAAATTGACCCGCTCTACCAACAATTGCGGTTTTCTGGGGTGCTGAATATCGCTCTGTGGGACTTTGCCAAAGGGATATGGTACACTGCCCTCACTTACTCAGTGTGGCAAGTGCTCTATCACTACTTCATTACTATCCGCAAAGCCCGTAAAATCGAACTGGGGAAAGTAACTTCGTTCACTCACTTGCGGAAACTGAAGGCGAACTCACCGCTTGGTCGTTTTGTGAACAGTTTACCTTATAACTGGATGCAAATCGGTGCCTTCACTCTTATCCAATTCGGCTACCAGATGCTTACTATGCTTCCCTGTCCCATCTGGTTTAAGTATAAGCACGCCTGCGGCGTGTTCGTGTTCTCAGTATTTGCCTGGGCCTGCTATAACGGTGCCACCTACTATATCGATATCTTCGGCAAACGCTTTGAGAAGGAAGTGGCTAAGCTCAAAAAGGAAGTCGCCGAGCTTGAGCGAGAAAAGATCCAGTGGTCTCCTCAAACTCAACCACAAGCGATGAGTGAAGAAGGGATTGTCGATATCCACTTGGGCGACCAGACCGATAACCACTCAACGACTTCTACCGTGAGCAGCGGGAACAATACCAATACCGCCACCGCTACGGGGATGCAGCGGGCGGAAACTACGGCTTAATGATCTATTATATAGGATTTGACATTAACTATTCATCAAAGTTTTGCCACTTTCTATCAAGTGACAATTATAATACAAGAACGGAAACGATTAATATACTCAGACGACAAAATCACCCTTCCAAGTCCAACGCAAAATCAAGCCCCATGTCGTACTCGTTGGAGTCGAGCTTCAAGTCGTCGTCGTCCAACGAAAGCACCAGGTCGGGCCCGCCAATGTCCATGTTGAGCAACCCCATGTCGCGGTCGCCATTGGTCATCATGATGTCCAGCTCCATCATTTGCGAGTGTTGTTGTTGCTGCTGTTGTTGCTGCTGTTGCTGTTGCTGTTGTTGTTGCTGATGATGCTGCTGTTGGCCTTGGTTTGGTTGTTGCTGAGGTTGTTGTTGTTGTTGTTGCGGTGCTTGAGCCATTTGCTGCTGGGGAGGCTGCTGTCTTTGCTGCTGCTGCTGCTGCTGTTGCTGCTGTTGTTGTTGTTGCATCTGGTGGTGGCCCATGTTCATCTGTTGTTGTTGCTGTTGCTGTTGCTGTTGCTGCTGTTGAGCATGCTGCTGCATTTGCTGCATTTGTTGTTGGTGATGGATGGGAGCCTGGTGAGGTACCGGTTGTTGAGGCGGCACCGCGGGAGGAGGAGGCGGCTTCATTTCCGGAGGCGCCGGCATTGCTGCCTGTTGAGGCAACGCCAACGGCTTAAGCAGCCACTGGTTGTCAAACTGCTTAAAGTCCAAGATCTCCTCCACTTCATTCAGAGGGATGTGGCCGACGGCGATTTCACGCAACTTATCCAGAGCCAACTCTTCAAGTTCAATGGCGTCGTCATAGACAAACGACCCTTCTTCGTTGTAGATGCGGGCATTGGCGAACATCAAGTGGACGTCCTCCATGAATTCACGAATCAGTGTGTAGGTGAGGTTGGTGATGCGCTTCTTGATGGTATCGAGAGCAATGGGGTATTTGATGAGCACGTAGTAGTCCGGGTAGATCTTTTTCGGCGGTTTGACCATGAAAATTTCCAGACAATTGCGCTCGTCGGCATTCACGTGGGTCACCATCGCGTCGTAGATGATCTCAATCTGCGTTTGAAGCTGTTCACGTTGCTGGGGATCCAATGGGTCAATCAGCGGCGTCAGCCGGTAGTGGATATTACCCTTTTTGTTGTTGGCCAGCTTGGCTCTACTGGGACGAGCACGAGGCGTCGCCAGTTTTTGCCGCTTCAGACCAGCCGATTCAACGTCAGAGTCATCGTCAATGAAGTCATCCACTCGCTTACGTTTAGTACGAGACCGTTTCTTCAGTCCACCCCCTGATTGAGGAGTGAAAGCGTCATCTTCTTGACCCAGGGCATAACCATCAATCTTCTTAAGCCACTGTTCTTCCGTCATCCCATCATCGTAGCTTTGGACCTTACGCTCACGGTTACCTCTACCGTAATCCGCATTGATCTCATTCTTCTGGATAAGCTCCTTCGGGTCACGCTTATACACGTCGGGGAGCTCTTGTTCAGTGAACAACCGCAGAGTCCACGGCTTGTCCTTTTGCGCCGCTTGCCTCTCTTCGTCCATCTTTTTAAACAATATCAACTCGTCGTCGTCACGTGCAATCACCTGGTTGAGCTCATCGTCGTTATCGACACCGTCATCTTCTTCAACCACATCACCGTCCTTCTCCTGTCTGCGCTCTTCATCCTTTTCAAGCAACGCCCGCAAAAACGCTTCTTGTTCTTCAGCACTCAGCTTCTGGTCGAACTTACCAGCCTGAATAACCTTACCGTCGATCTCAAGCTTTTGGTGGGCACGATCAAGCACCGCTTCTTCAATCAGCGACTCGGTGATGAGACGCAAGATCCGCACCTCGTTCTTTTGCCCGATTCTGTGAGCTCTGTCTTGAGCTTGCAAATCCTGGTGAGGGTTCCAATCGGTGTCAAAGATGATAACGGTATCGGCAGTCTGAAGGTTGAGCCCTAAACCACCAGCACGAGTCGACAATAAGAAACAAAAGTAGTCCAGATCAGGAGCATTGAACTTATTAAGCAAACCAGTACGATCGTCAGATTTGGTACCACCATCTAACCGCATGTATTTGAGGCCGCGAAGTCTCAAAAAGTCTTCCATAATGTCCATCACTTGAGTCATTTGGAAGAAAATAAGCACACGGTGACCCAGAGCTTTGAGCTTAGGAAGCACCCGGTCCAAAAGCTCAAACTTACCCGAAACACGCCAGATTTGGTCAGAGTTTTCCATCGAAGGGTTGATCAAAGTTTCCACTTCCTCGTAGACAAATGGGTGGTTACAGATCTTCTTCAATTGCATCAACTGGTTGTTGGCATTCTTAATCGAAACAGGAGCCCCATTTTCGTCAGCAGTATAAAGGATGTTGTGGTGCAACATCATTTGGTACAACTTCTGTTGCAACGCCAGCGCCTTACACTTGACGACCTTTTCCACCTTATTAGGCAAGTCTTTTTCGACGTCACGCTTTAATCTTCTCAAAAGGAACGGCCGCAACACTTTGTGCAATCTTCTAATCACCAACAACGCCTCTTCTTCGCTCAACTCGATCTTGTCTTGACCACCAGTATTGGCAAACGGAGTGTTGAACCATTCGTCAAACGACTTTACTGAGTTGAAGATTTTAGGGAGAACGAAGTTAAGAAGAGCCCACAATTCCGGCAAATTGTTTTGCAACGGGGTACCGGTCAAAATGAGTCGGTAGTCGGTGTGGTAGTTTTGCGTCAACGTCTCCAGCAACTTCAGCTTGGCGTTCTTCATTCTATGCCCTTCATCGATGATCATGTGCACCCACTTGATGCGCAGCAAAAGCCCCTTATCCTTGATGATGTATTCGAACGTGGTAAGAAGCACCTGGAAGTTACCCAGACGGATATCCGCTTGAAGAATCTTACGCTGGTTGGGGGTACCTTTATAAGTGACCTTCTTTACCAGTGGCGCCCACTTGTCGAACTCCATATTCCAGTTGGTAAGCGTCAGCAACGGCACAATCACCAAAAACGGACCGGGGATCTTCTTTACTTCCACTAAGTAGGTGATGAGCGAGATGGTCTGAATGGTTTTACCTAAACCCATTTCATCTGCCAAAATCCCGTTAAGGTGGTTATTAAATAACGACACCATCCACTGTAAACCCTTCAATTGGTACTCTTTAAGCGTACCGCCAACGAGAATTGACGGTTGTACGGTGACTTCTTCCTTGATACGGTGAGCCACATGGTAGTAGTCGATCTTTTCCCGCTTGACTTCAGGGTCTTCCTCGGGAATTTCTTCAGCGGTGATGCCTCGCTGTTTAAGGTTGACCAGAGTTTCCTTTTGTTGGGTCTGCACTGCTGCTGCCAACGAGTCCAAGAAAGTATTGGTTTGCTTAAGCAAGTGGGTGATACGAGTATCCTTGGTGTGGTCCAACAATTTAAGATACGCTTCTTCGTCGTTCAGCTTAAGCGCCTGCAAACGCTGTTTGGCCATCTTTTCCACCCGTTTCTGCTCTTCCTTAGCCACCTGGTTGTGGAACAGCCCCACTTTAGTGACAAACCGGGCCATGCGTTCCTTGCGACGGCCAGCAGCGGCGATTTCCTCAGCGCGGAACAGCAAAATGTCGGTGATAGTAGTCTGGTGCTTGCGGTTCTGTACTTGTAAAAGCGTCTGCATTTGGTGACGGTAAAGCTCGTGGCACTGGTACACGTTCTCCATCAGCAACTGCGAGAATTTCGCCAAAAAGTTAGGGTGGCTGCTCGGCAACGCCAGCTTTGAGAACCACACTTGCAGCAAGACGTGGCCGCGAAGCGTCTTTTGTAGCGGAAGTAAATCAAGCTTAGCCAATTCGGCTTCGATGTGCGATTTCTCCTCTGCAGAACACAGTTCTAGCTTCTGCTTCAATTGAGTACGGTACTCGTCTTGGCGCATCGCCATCATCACCTCCCAGTTATTGACGATCTCGCCCATAGAGAAGCTCTGGAAACCATGGTAGGGTTGCATGACACGTGTCTCAGGCTTGTCGATATCGGCAAACGGCACTTTAGGGTGCGAATGGTCGGGTCGCTCGAACGTGTCCACTTGGTCTAACGGGTTCATCACCGGCACCACCGTCTTCTTGGTCTCGTTTAGATCGGGGATAAGGTCCGATAGAGGTACTGGTGGGTGCGGGGCGTATACCACGGGTAAACTATCGTCGACCACCTCCACTGTCGGCTGGGGCCGTTCTCCCATAGTGGGCGTAGGTCTTGTCAGCGTCACCCCCAGTTTATCAAGCCCCGGCGTCAGTTTAGGCGTATCGGCAATAGGCGGTGGCGGGAACGGCAGTTCGGTGGTCTGAGGATTATTGGTGCCACCACCAACGGCATTCTTTGCTGGTAAATAAGGACCCTGGGCGTAGCAATTGCGTTCGTTAGTGACAAAATCCACCACGTTTTGCGGTAACGGAGCGTTAGTTGGCTGAGGATTCTTCAAATAATTAAGCATGGTGAGCTGAGTCTTGACCATCTGCATTTGTTGCTTAGTAAACGCCAGTTCCGGGGCACCGCCCATGGCCACTCCCGCTGCCGGCGGCGGCGCCTGGAACCCTTGTGGCGTCGGAGCGCCGTTGGTAGCCCCGTTAAACATCGGCGATTGAGCCTGGGGCGGCCGGCCACCACCGGCAAACGGCGGCGGCGGCTGCTGAGGGTTCACGCCGCCCTGGGGAGGCATCATCCCCTGGGGCACCGGCTGGCCTCTCATCGGGCCCATTTGCGGCTGGTTCATCTGGGGCTGGCCCATCTGCTGCTGCTGCATCTTGACGTACTTGAGGATTTTCGTGATTTGGTTGAATTCGGGGAACTGGACGGCGCGGTCGCCGTACTGGTTGTAGAGCTCCTGGCGGCGGCGCGTGAGTTGCTCGAGCCGCTCCGGGGTGAAGTTATCCATGGTTGGATTGATTGGTACGACGCTTTGGAGAGAATTTGGAGCGTGTAAACGGCAGGTATGTGTGGCCAGGCACCGGTTGGGTTGGGAAGTGTGGGAGGTGTGGTGAGTGGAGAGAGTGTGTGGTTAGGGTGAGGTTGGCTAGAGTGCGGTGGTACGGACACGACCCTGGAGTATGTCGCGTCGCGCGCGCCGTGGCGAATAAGTTTGAGGGGAGACTCAGGCAACGAAAAATGCGAAATGAGGGGCGAGACAACGGCTACTGTGAATAATTAAAAATACCATCAATTGAGATGATATATCGATTAGATGTAGGCTATTAGGGATGAAAGATGATAGTAAGTATAGTTCTATGGCTTGACTCAGTGGGGTTCCATACTATACTTATAGTAAATGTCTAGATATGAGTTTATCCGAAATAAATCCATATTCAGCGAAAAGTTTAAGATTCTGTGATATCTGTGGAAGAAAACACGGATTTATCATCACAGAAAGATAAATTCTTACTTATTACGAAAAACTCCCAAAAGCAATGAAATATCCAAATGATAGTGACTCGAATCTATAGAGAGAATGCCATTACTAAACCTTATAGTTCTAATTTACAACGACTACAATTGATGTGGGGGTGAGTGCTTAGCTACTTATGAGACTAATTACCAAAGTGTAAGCTTCCACTGATGGTATTATTAGATCAAGTGATTTCCAGCAACGACCACAGCGCTAAATGCCGGGTGCTAAATAGGATACTCCTGAGCAACGTCACCACCTATTCATTTCAAGACACAAATGTTCCCCGTACTATGGCTTCCAGAGCATGCCTTGGCCGCGCGGGGCGTAGTTAATCACATCAAACCGTTCCCGCTTGATTTCGTCGCCATTCTCGTTGACAACATCACGAATCGGTTGGCGCACCTTACGTGGTTTGCGGTGTTTCTCCTTGGAGTGAGGCTTGTCCTTCAATAGAGACGTTTCCTTGTCCTTAGACTTATCGTCGGTGGTGTCTTTTTTCTTATTATGTTTTCTCTTATCGCCCTTCGTCTTGATTGGGTGGTACTCCTTGGCGTGGGAGTACTCGTATTGAGTAGTATCGATGGTCAGGTGCATGGTATGGGCCAACGGTTCATCGCCGAGTGAACGGTGAGGGTCATAGTTGGCGTTGCTGATATCATACTGGTTAAACATAAGCAATTCCGCTTCATTGACGTTGAGACAGTCAATACCGAACAGCTGGGCCCAGATCTTGGTGATAGGGTCCTCAGTGACCAACTTATACTCGCCAGCCCCGGGAGGTCTCAGTTCAATGAACCGTTTATAGATACAAGGGCGAATAAGGTAGCGTAATCTCAGAGGCATTTCCGCCGGCTCATCGGCGTGAGCATGGGCGTGTTGGTACCGAGCCGAGTTCTCATACTGAATAACGTCATCGTCGTACTGGCCAAGCAAATTGGAATCGAATTGCGTCTTATAATTAGGGAAGTCGCCTACCCGGGGAGTGTGCACCTTAAACTTGAGACACTGGGGCCACGCGGGGCCCTGTTCTCTCAGCGACTCGATGGCCAAATGGTAATGAATATAAGGGTTATCGAGATCGTCTTCCGTCTCGAATAAGTGGTCGACAAACCGGATGGCTTCGCGGGCATTTGTCGCCTGCATCAGCGTCCCTTTCTTGACGTAATCAAACTCGTGGAGCGTATACAGCGGGATAAAGATCGTGAGGTCGATCGGGTTGGTTTTGGCACCGTCAGTGGCGGGGTTGGCGGTGTTAGCGTGGAGGTAGTCGCGGTTGAACCACCGCTTGATGTTGCCGATCCCGCGGACGAACGCCAGGTGGTCGATGATGAACGCCACCAGCCGTGGCTGGGGGTTGGCTGGCGGGGTCACGCTCGCGGCTGAGGCGTCGAACAACTCGTCGACCGGGGTTTCATCCATCCGGTGGTCGGTAGTGATGGTGCGGAGTGTGAGAAAAACATGGCTAAGAGGGACAGGACCAAATGTCAGACACTTACAGAGAAAAAAAACTGGAAACACCAGAGTAGAATTAAAAAAAAATTGAAGAAGTTTGTTTGATTTAGGTTTCATGTATGCGATAGATGACTTTGGTGAGTGTTGTGTCTACGCTATAATAGAGCCTCATGAGCTTCAAAGACAAATTTACACAACGACGAAAACTTTAGTAAAGTAATCTAAGCAATGAATATGAGTTAAAACGATTGAGTTGAGCTTTTACCAATGATTTAAACAATTTTAATCAGTGGTTTGTCGCTGGGTTTGTAATAAATTCATTGTAATTACCCCCGGGATCGCGATTTGCCTGGGTGATTCACAGGTGGCAGGTTCAGCAATGACGCCAGTATGGTTGTTACTCTTGAAGGTTAAGGCAACCCCATAAGTGGTAACTCACCCGTAGACAATGAAAATGGGCTAAGCCATCACGGCCATTATCTTCGGTGATGGGGGGTTACGAGACCCGAGGTCATCGCATCGGGGGATTTACAAGATTTAAAGATTTATCATGTTTCTGGGTTGTTAGTACTGATCAGATAATTGTCAAAAGTTGTATTCATCGAGCTGAAAAGCCCTAACATTAGAGATGCCAGAAAAATACATATATGAAAGGTATTCGTCATGGTACTTACTGGCTGGGGGTTGAGGTTGGTGGGAGTATGAAGTTTTTCACTCAGTGAGGTCGCACTTTATAGGGAGCTCATTGACTATGTGCAGGAAAACATTCATGAAGCGAAATTGTCGCCAATCTTTTTTGCTTAGGGTTGAGACGACCATTGTACCACACTCCAGCCGCTGATGTCGCAACTCTAACTCCGAGGCACACACTTACATCCACGCCACCACCACCTCGAAAACCATCTGGATCCATTGTTTGTGCCACAATATGAATCACTTTTCTAATAGCTCATCTCTAACTTTTAAAACGATCTTCGTTGGTTCCCTAAATCAGGGTTACCTTCTAAATCACAGGCCCTTTTCTCTCACGTGCCCGTTTTGTACTTAAGATGGCTGGTATATCTGACGGTCACACGCTGTAAGTAATCTACCTCATTTTGGCATCAGTGTTTACATTATGCCCCAATCGGGATATCGAAGCGCCCCACGCGACCATAAAATGGTGCTAAAGAGACGAGTACTACGACCCCAAATGAACCCCAAACCACCCCAAACCACCCCAAATTACCTGCTAACTCTCTCATTAAGTCGTTTAGTAACTTTCGGACGTTTCTGCCACCCATCCCACCTCGTGTCCCCATTAAACTTCCGACGCCCGCTTCCTGATGCGGCGCAAATCATAACACCACCGAAAACGTTTAATTGCCCACCTGCCACCGTCATCCCCCATTTCTCACTTACCACCACCAACTTTTCCAACCGACAAACAATGCCTCCACGGAGCCCCCGGCTGGCGCTGCCGGAGCGCCCCGAGCGCCGAGCACGCTCCCCCATCAAGGCCACCGGCACCGCCTCTAGTGGCCCCGGCCTGGCCTCGCTGGCGGCGCTGGTGTCGCTGGACGGGTCGCGGGCGCTGCTGGCGCGATGGCAGGAGTGGTCGCTGCTGCCGATGGCGCTGAAGCTCCACATCCTCCCGTCGTCGCTGCGCCCGCATACGATCCCCATCCCCTTCCAGATTATGATGCCGCCGAAGTTGTCGCCGCTGCCCCAGGTGCTGCCGCAGCAGCTGCCGGAAATGGCGCTGCTGGACGTGCTGATGGCGCTGATGGGGCTGCTGCTGCTGCTGATGCTGAACCCGGGCCGCTTAGTGTACACGGGGCTTGGCTACGAGCGCGTCGACGACGACCTCGACGGCGACCCGTTTTTCCTCCCGCCCGCAGCTAATAAGGGCGGTAAACGAGTGCCTGACCAGTTGCTGATCATTGAAGAATCGTCAGAAACGCTGTCGCGGGCGCTGAGCGTGCGCCGGCGCCTAGCGCTGGTGCGCCGCCCGTCGCGTGATTTGGCGAAGGAAATGCCCCTGCAAATTCTCGAAGACGACGATGAAGGTGATGAAGGCGACGATAGCGTCATCATTAATAAGAATAAGCGCCTTCCCGAGCTTCCCAGGCCATCTCAGAGTGCGCCAACCCCGACAAAGGCGCCAGTCACTATGGCGCCGAGCGCGATTGGCGCCGATACCAGCGCCGCTAGTTTAACCACTCCCGTGGCTACCCCCCCTCGCCAGGCTAAATCCACTAAATCGCCGCTGTTTTTCAGTCTGTGGCAGCTGAAATTCGCCTGGAATCAGCCGTGGGACGCCCCGCAATCGACCCCTACTTCATCGCCGCCGCAAACAAAGACTCGCCCTAAACTGATGGCAATCGACACCAAATGGGATGCGCTGCCTTTACTGGTAAAGACGAAACGGTATTCGATGCCTCCAGTGGCTACTGCGGCGCCTACCACTCCCACAAAGCCACGACCGGTACGTACAGGGATTAAAGTGATGGCGCCAATGGCGGCGCCCACGGCGAAAAAGCCTCCCGTGTTAGCTCGTTCAGGGTCACAAACGCTGCGGCTGACGGTGCTGACCCCCAGTCAAGCTCCGACAACGTTTACTTTGACTACTTCTCCTGGTAAAGGCCTCCGCAGTCCCCCAGCGACTCAAGAGCGTTGCATTGCCATTGAGCGGCCCCTGGCACCAGCACCAGCACCTCCCGTCACTGATCGTGTTGCTTCGGATAATCTGACGTCGCTGACGAGTCTGTGGGACCTGCTCCAGCAGCTGGTGGACATCTCGTTAGCTGATAAGCCGTCACGCCAACCGCGCCACAGTTCCGCCGAATGGGTCACCGAAGAGGACGAAGGAGAAGAGGAGGAGGAAGAGGATGAGGAAGAAGAGGAAACAGCCACTTTTGGAGCGGCCAGCCCGCGCCAGGGAGGGAGAAACTTCAGTAATTTCGGGCTGAGTGCTTTGGTCCAGATGGCGCCCCAGGCGTTCCTCAGACTGCCGCTGCACGATAACCTGCACTACTTTGAGGACCTGGTCATTGGAGCGTATATGGACGTTCTGGGAGTGAACACCACCGTTAATCAGACTCTTGACGCGATTGAGGATAACTCCGACAGTGTCGACAACGTTTCCGACGAGGGCGAAGAAGCGACCCAAGAACTGTTTAATGACAGCGGCAATGACGGTATGGGTAAGCGTTTTTCGTTCCCTAACGATGCCACTAATATCACCAACGAAGCCGAGTTTAAGCAGCATCCAGTGCACCAGCAACAACAACCCAGAGGCTACACCACTCCCCTGGGCCAGATCGAGATCCCCGACTTGAACCAGGTGGCTGCCAGCGCCTACTCATCGCTGGCACCCCGGTCGCTGTTGGTTTTATTTGATGACGTCGCCCTGAGGGCGCTGACGGCGCTGACCGAACAGACGGCCCTTGAGCCCTTAGGCGAACCGACACAGGCAGCGCAAAAGGTGATAAATGACCATTTTGAGGCGATGCACAGCGACAGTGACTCCAATACCGAGATCTCGCTGACGACATTCTCGATGTTTAACCGGTCTAAATTGGCCCCGCCTAAAGACGTCGAGGACCAAAAGGAAGGGAAAGCACGTGCGCCGAGTCCCCTGCGCCACCAGCGCCACCGCAGCCACCACCAGATCGATGTAGCCGACTTAGTCGCTCCTCAAACAGCGCATTCGGCCCGCCGCCGGCGCCAGCTGTTTACTGTGGTTGACGCTCGTGAGCCCACCACTCCCACCACGCCAAATCACCACCACAGCCGCAAATCCACCCGCAAACTGGTGAAGATCCTCTCGCCGCCGCCTCCCAGTGATACCCTGGCGGCGCTGGCGGTGCTGGCCACCCCTGAGGAGATGCTGATTGTGGTGCTGCCGCCGCCAGCCCCTGTGGAGTATGCCGTCGATTTCGTTGAACTGAGCGCTAACGATGACTCCCTAACTGCTGGCTATTGCGCTAACGCCCAGCTGGAGGCGAAACACCTGATTTACGCCCGGCGCTACCCTCACCAGCGGCGCCGTGAATTGACGGAACTGCTGCCGACGCCGGCACTGCCGGGACTGCCAATCACTCCCCCTGACCAAGTGGTGCCGGCACCGTTGCTGGCGCTGCTGATGCTGATGCTGCTGTACCACCACCTGGGGCTGGAGCTGGCGCACACTCGGCTGACGGCGCCGCTGGAGGTGATGGTCGACGGCTACCACATCACTGCCTATAAACTGCCGTCGCCTCCCGTCACTACCGGCGCCGGAACTGTCGCAAACGACGGCATCAACACCGACGATATCCTCATCTCCGTCCACGAAGACATCGGCGGCCAGCCAACGGAGGTGGTGCTTGTGGCTGACGACGACGACGATAGCGACGAGTTGTTGCTGATTTATCTGAAGTACCGCCGCAACTACTTGTTCCGCAACTCCCTGACCGCAAGCAGAGCTAGTGGCGTGTCCACAGCAACTTCAGCCACTCACAACCAAGTAAAGGAAGTGGGGAAGCTTGGCGTACCCTCGCTGGCGTTTGTTGAAGGTTTGAAAGTGGTTAGTGCTGCTCCAATGGAGACGATAGCTGAGAAGGTGAGCCGCCGTGTACACCAGCAACGGGCTCCCGTAGGAGTGGACGGCTCGCCTCCCTTGACGGGGATTGCCGCCACTTCCCACCAGTGGAGCCCCCGAGCCAAAGCGTGGCGGGTTGGCCGCAACCACTCTCAGGAAACGTCCTCTACTAATTCTCGTTCCACTTCACGCGAACTCCACCAACGGTCACCAAACACTGAGAGAGTCTCACCAGTGACTAAATGCACTCTGCCGCCGCCAATGGTTAAAGCTGTTCTGCCACCGATTGAAGGATCCTCATCAGCTACCAAGAGAGCGATGCCTCCTTTCAAAGGACACCTGCCGTCACCAGTGACTAGAGGCACTCTGCCGTCACCGGTTGCTAACCACACCCATTCCAGATCACTGATGTCTCCGCCGCCGACGCTAGCGCCAGCGCTGCCGCTGAGGATTCCCAAGCTGCCGAGAATGGCCAATATCCGTGGAGTAGTGACACCCCCGCCCAAGGCAGCGCACTTCCGCCACCTGTGGGCACCTCAGTCGCTGAAGAAACAGCTTAAGATTCCCCCGACAATGGGATCGGGCTCTCCAATTGATCGGACCCAGGCGAAGTCGCCGTCGCCTTCTCAATCGAGCGTTGGCGCCAGCGGGTCGCCAACTCCAACCAAGCCTCAAATGCAACCAGAGACGAGACGTCCCCGCCCTAAGCTGGTTGGGGACCCTTTATTTGCGCCTAAGGAGGCCCTGAAAGAGTCACCGAGCGATCGCCGGCAGGCCCGGCGCCTGATGTATGACGTGGGCAAGCTGTACGCGTCTTCTCGAGGCGCTAATGGCGACGCTGGCGACGCTAGCAATACCAGTGTCTCTGAGACTACAGAGCGCGGCCACACTAGGGGTAAGAGCCTCGGCAGCCAGTACTACGACTACACCACCGGCAGCTACGACTTTAACTCGTTCATGCAGCTGCGAACAACCCCGGCGTTTTGAAGGGACCCGGGGTAGTGGTTAGTACATGCCACTGGGCGAAGTTAATGGTGACGACTTTCACCTTCACTGGTGGGAAAAACATGTCAATAATACAATGATTTACGAGTGATAATACATATAAACTCAATTGATAGTAAGCCGAGTGTAAATTTCAAAGCAACTTTTTGTTGTAAGAAGATGACCGATGGTCATATCTGTCCTTACCTGTTATTTATTCAAATCATCAGAATCCATCGTTCCACTAATGGCTTCAGAAGTGAATGGAATCAGCATGTAGCTCTCTGAACTGGAAGCCCAATGTTACTACCACGGTCATTACTCACTTAACAGACGTTAAGCTATTCATTAAAACTCGAGTAAGGGAAACTTCTGTGTAGTAATCATCTTCGACCTATGATGGCTCAAGTATGGAGAGAACTGTCCACAACTGCTTAATAGTCTCCACAGCGAGACTATAGCTTAAAAATAGGCAAGTGACTTCAAGGGTGGCTTTTTCCTTTTTCATATGTAAGTTTTACACGCCACATCGCCTACATACCCATTCAACTGTAGGAGTTATTATCGTCAATTACACAATCACAAAAAGAAAACCCCCGTTGCATATCACCGCTTATGTCCGGAGACAATTGCTCGCAAAAAGTTGCCCTCCCCCACCGTGTCCAGACGCCTGTCTGACCGTCAATTTATGCCTGGCGCTCATTTACCCGCCGCCAATGCCTGGGGGACCCGCAGTTTATGCCTGATGGTCGCCAAATATGCACTGGTGACGAGTGGGAGCTGCAAAAACTGGGTTTTGTGTCACTGGTGCCGACGACATGGCGACAGCCGCGTTGACCGGTTTAGGCGTCCCCGTGTCGTCGAAGAACCCTGCCCCCAATTGTCGGGGTCGTGGTGGGGTGTAAATTGACGGGTTATCCCCAAAAGGAACGATTTACGCCCATAGGTGTTCTAATAAACTTTATTGGCGGCGACCCCAGCATCCGCCCCATGGGTATTTTAGCCAGTGGTACTCGGGGTTGGCAACAGGGGTTTCGGGGTCAACGCGCATTGCCATGGGAGTATTTGGCAATTAGTTACGCAATAGCGAGGCCACCGGGGCGCTGTCAGCACCATTATTGCGTGTGTCGGGGGTGTAGGTCCATCCCCTGACTAGGTGCATGGCGGCCGACCTGTGATGTAATTATGCTTAGTTAAGGGCCTTGTAAATGACTCCAAACATGTCAGTAGCCCTAACTTCATGCTATCAGAGTTAATTACCATTTCACAGTCATTCACAAATTATTTTAAGTTTGATATTAAACTATTTACCTGCGACAAAGTGAGACATCAGCAGATTTTTAGGCGGTGCGTCGACCGCAAAGCCAGAGGGAGGCAGTGACAGCGTCCCTGCCTGCCGGAGGTGGCGAATCAGTAGGCGCGATATTTTGCATGACCAGCGGGTGTTTTTTGAGGATAGGTGGGGCGGCAGACTTCTGTGGGGCGGTTCATGAGATTAGCGATGCTAGAGATATTGGCGGTGAGTGCGGAATTATCATACTAATATCTCCGAGCCGATCACTGACGTCACCTCTGCGACGAAATCGATCACTAGACCCCACATTTATCAGCGGACTTTTGAAGGCCACACCAGTGACCATAACAAAATGCCACAATAAGGAGTTGACGTTGTCTCACTAACTCAGGCCGTAGGGTACTTGTGTATACAATTAGAATGACAAAATCAAATAAACGTCTGTTGTAATGCTTCACCACTATTCGAATACGCGATATAATCTGAAAGTAAAACATCCATGAAGAAAACTCTTCTCTATTACACAGGTCTCTAATATGGTCTCACTGGCTTTAGCTTCGCCGCTGGCAGTGGTTAGGGAGCGTTGCGCAACCTGTCAGTCGCACATGCTCGCAAGCCATGTACCCTGAAGCGTCCGATCACCCGCCATCAACTCCCCAATTGGATGTGTAATTCCATCCAGCAATCAATATAAGGTTCCAGCAATTAAATCAACAACTTCTACTTCATTTCTGATCAATCATTCACTCTCCAGGTGGGCTCCGTCCCGTTGCCACGGCGGCTTATTGTCCGGGTCGCGTGCGAATGACCCAGTGACCGAGGTGCCGCCACCGCCGACTATCTCACTGAAAGCCGCCTTTCCCAGCCCCCAACCCGCCTCCAACTGAGCCATGCTGTTACGAAACCTGTGGCCGGTGCTGATCTTGCGGCTGGCGGTGCTCATCCCCCTCTTCGTCGTCGGGTGCCCCCTGATCGTTCTAACCCAGCTCTTGGGCTTTCTCGTCTTCCGCACCTGGTTCCCCAACCCGGGCTACTTGCAGGCGGTGATCAACGTCACCAAGACCCATTTCATCATCTTGCTCACGTTTATTTCCCAGGTGATCAGTCCCACGACGATTAATGTCACTTACGACCCCAACGTGGTTGGCGAGGGGGCATTCACCACTAATGCCAAAAACCAGCTTGTCAGCCACTTGCTGCCGAACCTGGTGATCATGCTGAACCACCAGATCTACACCGATTGGCTCTACCTCTGGTTTATCGCCTATACATCGCAGCTTTCCAGCTGTATCTACATTGTCCTCAAGGACCTCTCCAAGATCCCCGTGTTGGGCCAGGGGATGAAGAACTACAACTTCTTGTTTCTCAGCCGCAAGTGGGCCGCCGATAAGCCTGTACTCACTCGCCAATTAGGGGAAATCGACGCTAACGCTCGCGGCGTTGGTCCCGCTAATGGCGTCACCCCCATCACCGAGGAAACGAAGCTTGCCGCTGTGTGGCCGCCTCTGGTACCTGAAGGTCAACCGAAACAGGTGTGGCCCTACGAGCTCCTTATCTTCCCCGAGGGGACAGTGATGCTGAACCGCACCGTCAATAAGCTGCGTGAATTCTGCAAGGAGCAAGGACGCAAGCCCCTTGAAAACGTGTTGTTGCCTCGCGTGAGAGGGTTATTCTTAGCCCTCCGCAAGCTCCGCCACAGTGTCGAGTTCGTCTACGACTTCACCACCGGCTACGGCGACTTGGGCCAGTACGAATTCGGCGAGGATAAGTTCCTGTTGAAGCGGTTTTACCTTAGAGGGTATGGACCCCCTTCGATTAACTACTACGTTGATGCTTACCGGCTCAGCGAGATCCCTTTGGGCGCCGAAACCGACGACGTCGACGACGCCGACCCCGAGGACTTGCGCAAGTTTGACGAGTGGTTGTCGCAGGTGTGGTACGCTAAGGACGCCCGCATGCAGCAGTTCTACGAGCACGGCAAGTTTGTTGCCAAAAACAGCGAGGTGACGGTGCTGGCGCGGTTCGGGCTCTACCTGGTGTTGGAGATCGTGCGGCCGTTTTTGCCCGTGGTCACGGTGTTGTTGGTGCTCAGATGGGTGGTCAAATTCCTCTACAAGACGGTGGTTAACTAAGAACAGTTTTTTTAATGTACAAGTAGCGAGTTTACCGGGTAAACGTACGCGGTGGCTGCGGTGGGTCCCCCCTTAGGCGGCTGAAACATTCCCACTGAACCCACCCCGTGTAAACGTGTGTAGCTTTGTAGAACCACCTGACGGGTATATGAGGCCTTCGATAATCCGTTTGTCGTAGTCGTTCTCTTTCCTTTATACCCCCTTGTCCTTCGTTGGCCTCCCGCAAGAAACACTCGTGCAGCAAAAAAGTAAGTACCGCATAAAGTACTCGTGAACAACAAACACCGATCAAACAAATATCGTATATTTGGTAATGACACGACCTTTTACCACATTTTGGTACTAACACGACCTTTAGTGATCAAGCCGTTGATTACCCGTCTGGGAGCGATGCTATTCACGTTTATTGCGTTTATTATCCTCGTGTTCCTTTTGCTTGGCCAGTGCCACACCAACCTGACGTTCTCCAACGTGTATTTAGCCGAAGTCCACTATAACCAGACCACCACCGCCCTCAACGATACCGCCACCAGCTTGCGGATGGGGTTCCGGGGAGCGTGCATTATCACTGCGAAGGAAACCAATTGCTCTGACTACGGCCTGCTCCAGCAGCGGTGGACGGCGACGCCACTCACCCAGGTGCTGCTTGCCGATGTCGCCGTCAGCTGGCACAAACTGACCCACTACCACGTAGTGTTAGTCGGCGTGCTCGTGGGGTTAGTGAAAATGGGGCTTATCCTCTACACGATGGTGCCGCGGCTTCCACGCCACTTTCAGGTGCTGCTCGTGTGCGTCGGGGTGGCGGCGGTGGAGGTGATCCTCGTGGGAGCCCTGGCGATCGCCCACCACGCGGCGACGCTGGCGGCGATATACACCGCGGGCGAAGCCAGTGGCGATCAGATCGCGATCACCCGCGGCGGCCGCGCCAACGGCATGACCTGGGCGGCGGTGACGTTGGCGCTGTTGTCGGTGGTGGCGATGGTGGCGCTGTGTGTAGCCGACTTGCGCCGCCAGCAACGGGACAGCCACGAGACCAAGCCCTCGTTGCGAGATGCCCTCTAAGTATGACAATAACACACAAATTCCCCCCCGATAATACCCGCCTTATTTGCTTCGAATCAGGCACAGTATGTTCGCTTGGAACCCAAACGCACGCCGAGGCCTCATAATTCGTCACGCGACCACCCCGGCACCAGGGAGACAGCAGCACTCGGTGAGGCCACCCACGTTGCCCCGGAGGAATCGTGTGGCTCTAAAAGCGACAATGACCGTTGACACAAATACGCTGGTCCTCGACGAACACAATAACGCCGGCGAGGTTACATTGAACGAAATCTCAGTGTAACCTGCTTCGAGATAACTCCGAAGATTAGGTTTATACGAAGACACAGCCGCTGGTAGGATTCGCGAATTCCCGAGATGAAACCACAGCGACGAAAGTGCTCGGTGAACGATAGTGTCCACAGGTCTCGTACCGGCGATGAATTAGCGGACCCGGCGGGTTGGCAGTGTCCCGCCACACGCCCATAATCGCCAGCACGGCTGGGAGTGCAGCCGATGTCGGCAGCCAGGCTAATGCCGGTTGGTGCACTAAGGTGCCCCTAAAATCGCCCGTAAAAGGGGTAGGGTTATCACTGAATGATAATTAGGACTGATTTCCACGTTGCGAGCCCTGGCACCACTGTTCTATTTTTTAAGGGGATTTTTCACAGGCCAAATAATCAACCCTCACAAAATGCCGTCGTCAGCGCGCATACAGCAAATTATTTTCTCCCAGTGGTGGTGGTGGTGCAATGGTTCGGCACCCCCGTGTGTGAGACCGTCGCCTAACCCATGCACACCCGTCAAAACGGGACTCTTCCACGGTGAAATCACCCCACTAACCCCGATGACCAAAGTGTATTTAGCCGATTCAGGCAAAGCAACCCTCACTAGAGCTAGATAGGCGACCGCCAAGCCCCCCACGATCATTGTACGTCTCAAATAGCACCTCCACCAGTCCTGTTTTTGCCGGTACCGGCGCTGGCCCGTTTTGTCCCATTTCAGGTAGCGTCGGCTCTGATCTTGGCTGGGCCACATATCCGCCAGCAGTGGGGGAACCGACACAAACACATACCCGTAAAGCTAAGCACCAGCGGTGATCTCATAGCGAAAAATCTCGCTCGTGTATGCCACACCGCTCAAATCCGCCAAATCCGCCAATTATCGTGAGTGCGGCTGTACCTCATCGTGGCGTCTTTAGTGGCCGGGCATTTTGGCTGCTACGGCGAACCCAGTAGCAAGCGCAGGTGTCGAAAATTGGCGGCCATAAGCAGCGGGCGATCGTCGAGATGCCGTCGAACGATCGGCGAGCCGAAACCGTAAACAGGATGAAAATAGAACAGAGAGTATATAGCACTTGAGGAACACTATACTTCAAAACACGAATGATCAACCATCCAATTATGATCGACGGAGGTCTTTAACTAGACGTTTTTAGCGTAGTTCCATGCAGATTATGCTTTACTTGAAAGTTGGGGGCACAAGGTACAGGTGCTGCTCAGCAACCGACGTCACCGGTTTCAAGTTAATTCGAGTACCTGTCAAATGATTTTGAAAAGAACCATAGACCGTTCGTTCAGAGTATACCCCATACAATCACTCAACATTGACAATGAGATCAAAAAAGAAGCTCAACTTCAAAGAAACAAATTAATCAATTCAGAGGGAGAAAGGAGATGCTCCATTCACTCGCAGTCTGACACTTTTTTGGAAGTTTAGCGGTAATTTCGCCTAACTGAGTGAAAAGCTCATCGGCGTGCTCCAATTTCACCACCTCATCATTATCACTGGTGTCGCCTTGTTGTCGCTTGTACATGAGTTTGAGACAGTGAGGATAAGCTTTACCCCCAATAGTGGCGCCCACGTCGACGTTGGCCACCCACACTTGCCAATTGTCCACGGAAAACTTGCGTACGGCCATGTTCACCTTATCCATCATGGACAGGTACCAGTACTCCGTCTTGGTATAGGTCTCAATGGTATCACCATACACGAGGTCAATCATCCACTTGTTAATGCGTTCGTGCCCCAAATCGGCGTGGCAATGGCTACACCGCCAGTGCTCTTCAGTATACTCAAGCCTCGGGTTTTGCTTCGATGGCATCAATAGTATGTACAGCAGCCCAACGAGGATATCTGTAGGCGTCTTGGGAGCGATGTTGGTATAGGTTTTCGTGGTTTCCTGGTCGTTATTGGGCTTGTGGCAGTGCCACACGTCCATGAGCTCGTACCAGTACTCCAGGGGCATTTCATGGAATTTGTAGTCGCGAGAGTCAATTAAACCAGTTAGACATTGGTGGCAGCGGAAGGAGAAGGTGTAGGTGTGGTTGTCACCCGTTTTGGGCGTCCTCTGGGCGAGATCGGCCACACTCCATTTGACGGTGTCAGCAACGAAATTGGCCTTTGTAGGAGTGGCACTAGCATCCGTAGCCATAGTAAGCGCTATTCCGTATACCTTACCAGCAATTGAAGTCACTGGAAGCAGCGTAGGGAGTACGAGAGGGTAGGTATCGCCGCCAGCATCGGTGACGAAAATCTGCTCCTGGCGCCAGTGCACCGATGAAATTGCCGGGTCAGCAATCACTGTGGTGGTGGATACCCGCGGAAGGTACTCACAGAAGTAGTTGGCCTTGGAAGGAGGCAGCAGCAGGGCCATGGCGGCGATGATGACGATGATGTATGTGATACGCGCCGCGCAATGAAACATAATCAATGTTTGAGAGATAAGAGTTGAGAGTTTTAGAAGAAGTTAATTGAAAATTATTATTACGTGTTTTACTTTGGTTTGGGTTTGTTGTGGAGATTTGGCTTAAAAAGTCAACTGACTTCAGTACTATACAAGATGAGAGCGATCATCTGAGAATTCGTCGATGACGTCAGAGATTAATCAGCTCTGATGCGATTGCAGCACGGGTGTTTGTGAAGTGAGGTAACGGCTTGAGATTTATGATCAGTTTCTGTAGTTGCTCCAAGCAATTACCATCATCAGAATTCACACGAGCCAAGTCGTACATATGATAGTGGTTCAAAACCTTGAGGTGGTTGACTCATATTGGCTAGGCCTACCATGAAGTAACAACAATAGTTAATTCCATTAAGTTGTGTTGGCGAAGATATCCTCGTTTTCGTCAATTCCATTTACACACCAATACTGTATACAACGAAAGTTGCATACGAAGTTCCACTACACCTTCCGTAGGGACAACCACCGTTGAAACTTGCCAGTACGCGTGAGAGACATTCAGCAAAGCTTAGAGTCCGAATTGCGAGCAAGAGTAGATTTTGAAATATCCTTTTCTAGAGAACTTTACGAAGTATTACTTCGCTTTCGTTTTGTTGTTCACTACAGTATAGTGAACATTGAAAACCACTTGTGATACTTGCAGCGATGGTGATACAGATGTGACACCTCATTTAAAGAATAGGCTTGCATGATGATTGTGAGTTTGAGAAAGGTGATGAACCCCATTGTAATTGGCATCCTTGTTGTCTGTAAGCTTGACTATTTGGTGACAACATTTTTAAGACCGCACACCAGGTTTCTGCTCCATCCATGCCTGCACACAGGAGTTCCATCTGCAGAAAACACGAGAAACCATAACCACATTCTAAAATGACATAGAAGACACTTTAAACAAAAATGAACAACACCACTGTAATGTTAAGTATTTAAATAGTACTAGCAACACCAATTAGGAATTGTTTGAATTTTTTGAGATTTTCCTTGAAAAAACTAAAAAAATTCTATAAAATCAGGAAAAAACAATATAGACATTTCGTTTGCTCCATGAAATTCTTTGGAATTGGAAGTATATTTGGTGTGGTTTTGGATGAGTTGACTTTAAAATTGGCGTCTCTATGTGACTTTAACGGTGTAAAAAAAAGTTTTTTTTATTTTGCAAAATTTTTTTTGAACAACTTTGAGTTTGTGGCGTAGTCTATTATATCTGAGGAGCATTCCAACTGATATGCGATGCTTGTAGAAATGATAAGATAGGTTAGACACTTCGTCTATAATGATGTTTGTATGCAGGTGCATCAACCATTATGCAAGACAAAGCAAGTTGAGCTAAACCACCCACTTACAGTATGACTAGCCCATTTTAACAAGTATCATTGTAATCTGAAAGTACGGTGATTTAGTTTGGAGGGTTTGGGTAGGTGCTGCTACTGTTGTTGACACTTATATCACGCTTTGAAGTTTGGGGTTCTGCACATAAGCATTGCATGTGCATATCATTCATGATTTTTCAAATTGCTCTTTTACCACCGATATCAAACTTAAGAAAAAGGCAAGATACACCACTACAATGTATACGGTGTAAATACCATTATAACTGCAAATTGGATTTTTCTGAATTTTCGAATAGAAAACTTCAAAGTGTGATATAAAATCAGGAAAAATTGCTACAGACCTCCAGTTTGCTTCATAAATATCTTTGGCACCAGAAGTATGGCAGGTAAGTACCTAGACGAGTTGACAATCAATTTGACGTAGCTGGAGCAATGGCACTCCAGTTGCATTACCTGCAGGACTGGTAGATGCATGCAGTAAATAGATATTCATGGCGCTACAAGTTGCAAATCGTGTGTAGGCCAAATATTTCACCACCGCTATGATTACTGCTGGCTGCAGAAGGTTTATGGATTTTGAATCGAATATTGAGGTACTCGACAGGCTTTTATGTGCGTTCTCGAATTGGTCCTGCATATAAAGGAAGACTTTTCAAGGCATGCATTTACCATTAATAAGACAAGTTGAGTGAGTTCCGATGCCATTTCCTTGATTCGCACGGTTTAAATGTATGTGTAATAGAGATCGGAAGTTGTTCCTGAAAAGAAAAAAAAGTTGAAAAAAAAAAATTTGAAATTAAAATTTGAAATAATTTTTTGACGAGCGGCGACCTTGTATGCAGGAGTTGACGAGAGTTCGAAGATTCTGAAGAGTGGCGCACCATAGTATATGCAAGAGTTGATGACAGTCCGACACGTGACGCTCCATGGTATATGCAGGATGTAATGGAGCGAGCTGTTACAATGAGACACAACCGTCGTTTTATCGCAATCGCATACAGAACTTGAACAATTCCTACTATGAAGATGACTCTCAACTCTACATAAGTTGTTTTTCAAAAGGGAGAAACAGACATCGGATTATTGATTTTTTTAAGTTATGGAGATCATCTATTCGGTATTGATCATTTACCACTTATTTGGGTGTATCTTGCTAAACGATGCAATAACTCTTGTCGGTAATAATTCACACATTATGACTTCGCTTACGGAGAGATCACTTCTTACTATGACTGTCATGATAGCTCCCATTTGATACAAAAAATTTGTATAAACGGTGCAGCCACCTCAGTAGTCTGCAACACGGTACGCGCACTCCACAACAACGCCAGAGACAAGTCAAGGCCATGACGAGATAAGGATCTCCAGTCTTCATCTACTTCCCAGCAATCTTCCATGGACAATTCACGTACGAGCAATGCTCCCCTGACCAAGCGTCGCAGACGCCATCGCCCGAACCAACGCAAACGGGCTAAACACCGCCGCCCGCCTTCCACTGACGCCGTGGCTGTGAAAACTGAATCTACCCACAATGACAATGATCAACCTAACAAACGTGTCCGGAAACAGAAGCTTACTTCCCTGAAACAGCCCGCCACAAATAAAGCTGACCATCAAACCAAAGACGCTAAGACCAAGCCCCAAGATCCCGTTACTGACACTAATGATAAAGCCAAGTCTCTTCCTGATATTCTCACAGCGAGAAACAACGAGAAGGCCACATTTGAAGATCTCCCCGTTTCCATTGTTCAATTCGTCTTTTCATTGGTGGATGTTCCTTCGATGTGTAATCTCTACATCGCCATGGAATTCTCCTCCTACGCCGAGGAGATCGCCAAACACCTTGACGATCGTGGAGTGACAGTGACGGCCGAAGCTGTCGCCACTGGCGACCCTGAAAATATCAGTTTTGCTACCTTAGCCAGGCTTCCTCCCTGTCATATCCGAGTCACGTGTAATTTGGTTAACATGGAATTAACCTTTTGGCACCTTAAACAAGTCACGGTGAAACTGGTGGACTTACACCTCAAAAATCTCGATAAACGCCGCAGACGCTTTCATCCTGACTTACAATTTCTTGGAAGCACGTTGAAGACGCTCCGTTTGGACTACTTCTACTTCTTTAACGACCGTATCCCTACCACGTTAACCAACCTTCATCTTCTCCAATGTGAAAGTTATATCGACCTTGCTGCCTTCACCAATCTCACCCATATTGAAGTCATCGGTTGCCTGGGTGTTTCTGTTAAAGAATTGCCGCCACTGATTGTTAGCCTCAAAATGAACGAGGTGGAGTTTGACGCATCGACGCTACCCCATATTGAACACGTTTTTGGTGATAAAATAACCAATTTGCCTTGGTCCCAAGTGAAGTCAGCCAAGTGGGTCAAGATTCCTCTGGGCCAACGAATGGACCAGTTGACAGAGCTTGAAATTAACGGTGGCCCGGTTGAGAAAGATGTCGAGTTTCCTAAGCTCGAATCAGTCAAAATCAAGCTGCAAGATTGCAAGAACGTCTCCAACTACTTCACTGTCGCGCAGCTCGCACAAGTAAGGATTCTCAAAGCTAAACATGCGATGGTCGAAATTTTGCATTTGCTCCAAAACTTAACCATTTTACACTGTCGGTTTCACGATGAACTCACCGAGAGGTCTCAATTACCGCCTAACTTGGTTGAACTCTCAATATCTTCGTCTGAGTCAGTGTGGGGTGTTCCTCCTCAGCTCAAAGCGTTTTCTTACACGAGCGTGATCGACTCTAAGTATAAGTTTAGGTTTAATGAGCCTACGCTTTGCGTGTATGCAGAATCAGATAACCTCAAAAGTTTGGTGATCAAAGGAGCGTCGTCGGTGACGGTTGAGTGTCCCAACGTCACTCACTTTACGTGTTGGGATCCTCGTAAGATACGTGTCGATCTCCCTAATTTGCAGAGCTTAACTTACAGAAATTCTTGCTGGCCCAGTACTCAGTTCCCTTTCAAACGGGGCTACCCTAACCTTCAGGAACTCGACCTAAGAGGGGTATCACAAGATGTGGTGTTTGATCATCCAATGAAGTCGGTTCGATTGGATGATATGAGACCACAGCGGTTGAAGTTTACCACTGACCGAGTGCACTTTAACAAATGCGAGATCCCCGCCGATACCGATATCACCGCCCGAGTCCTCAAGTGTAACTCTCGCTTCCTCAGCACCCGTGGAATCAGGTGTGAGGAGTTGTATTGTAATGAAGTTGACCAAGTACCGCCCACGGTGCAGAAGCTCTCGTTGAGTTTGAGGGAATCGTCCCCTTACACTTATATCCATGCGAAAGTACCTGAGTTATGTGGGTGCAATGTGCTCACGTCGTTGAAAATTACGGGGGGAATTTGGCACTATCGGCGGGGCTTACCGGTACCACCATCTGTCAAACAAGTGTCTATTTGGAACCAGCATTGGAACCGACGAAAGCAGCATTGGGAAGGAGTGTTCTTTGTGACCACACCGACCAGACTCGAGCACTTTGAATTTTTTGACCCTCGTTACGACAACTGTGTGGCGTTCAGCCAGCAACCAGCGTCCGTTTTCGTCGAAAACGGTTGCCCATGGGGTCAATCCGGACTGTTAGCCAGCTTTGACTCCACGCTATTGTGAACGCAATAATAAAGAATCAGTAACCTTCTCTTTCTCCTGCTTTTCCTACGTTTACATTCATTAGTGAAAATTGATGAAACAGTTTCTTTTGTGTCTATGCTCCTCTAGTCATCGCCAAATTCTTGACCACTAACTATCATTGTTCTTGATAGAGATAAATTGCGATAAGCTTAATTGGTCTTGAAAATTGTTCCTGAATAATGTGAGGGGAAAGCCCGAAATTCCAAGAATTCAACCAATCTACAGCTCAAATCATACCATGATGAAAATCAGGTCAACCAAACCAGCCTCTCATTATTTTCGGAAATATCGTATACCATCTTGATCGTCGTCGTTATTTCTGTTTTGGTAGCGGGTCACGTGCCTCATCGCGCCCTCAGTTTTTCGCCATCGCCATCACCTAGTACCGAAATCTCCCCTCCATCATGGCCACGAGAACCCAGTTTGAGAACCTGAACGAAGTCGGGGTGTTCCTGAAACTCACCAACCTGTACTGTCTTGTCGCCGTCGGCGGGTCGGAAAACTTCTACTCGGCGTTCGAGGCCGAGTTGGGCGACGCCATCCCCATCGTCCACACCACCATCGCCGGCACCCGTATCGTCGGCAGAATGACCGCCGGCAACCGCAGAGGGTTGTTGGTGCCCACCCAAACTACCGACCAAGAGTTAATGCACTTGCGTAACTCGCTCCCCGATCTGGTCAAGATCCAAAGAGTCGAAGAAAGATTATCTGCTCTTGGTAACGTCATCTGCTGCAACGACTACGTCGCCTTGGTCCACCCGGACATCGAAAGAGACACCGAGGAATTGATCGCCGACGTGTTGGGCGTCGAAGTGTTCCGCCTGACCATCGGCGGCGAGGTGCTTGTCGGTTCGTACTGCTCGTTGCTGAACCAGGGCGGGATCGTCGCCCCTCACACGCTGATCCAGGAACAAGAAGAATTGTCGCTGTTGTTACAAGTGCCCATTGTTGCCGGTACCGTCAACAGAGGGTCCAAGGTCGTCGGTGGTGGCCTCGTTGTCAACGACTGGTTGGCGGTGGCCGGGCTCGACACCACCGCCCCGGAGTTGTCGGTGGTGGAACTGATCTTCCGCTTGCACGACGCCCAGCCGGAGGCGATCCAGACCAGTTTGCGCGACACCCTCATCGAGACCTACTCGTAGTTTTCCGGAAAGGGCTGCTCTTCGCACTTGTAATGATTGCATTTATGTACGTTAATGGGACACAGGACACACGCAAAAACTGACGAGTAAATGGTTTCAATGGATTGATTGATCTACAAACTTGCATTCTTATATCGAGGACGATCAGTCCCACCTTTTCTAGCTTCTATTACCAGGGGGACGAGTTTAGCCGTTTGTTATCGTTCATAGAGTCCAGACGAATAGTTATAGTCAATCTCATCTATCACTTTTGTACTCTTTTTTGGAGAATCTAGAAATAGGTCACGCTTGGTTTTAAAATATTTGAAGGTCGAGGATTTAGTGAGGTACTCGGAGAATCGTGCGTAGTGAGGGGTGGCTTGATTTGCAGCCATCCTAAAATTGTTGGCTAGTGTAAGGTGGAGTTAAACGGCCGTGGTGGTGATTTATGACAGCGATAGGATTAAGTGATGATAATGTCTCAAAGCTTAATCTAGCCAAATAGCCCCATTATTGCTTGAACCATTTTGTAGCTATATATCGTCGGTTATGTCCAGTTTGGTGGTACTAGAGCTAATGTATAATTCGTCAGTGGATGCCCCACGCTTAATTGGGGTTGCGAGAACTGCAGACGCTTCGAAGGCATAGTCATCACTAACGGCTTAGCTTTCTCGTATTACTTAGATACACCCGTGCCGCAATAACGGTCCCGAGATACGCGGATATCGGCGATCGATCACAAACACAAACACGATCTCATCTCAAACCTAAACACCATCAAAACATGTTAATTCTATGCTACCATGAGTTACGGTTCCATAATTTTCGTTTCACTTATCGGGTGGCTTCGCCCCTATTCAACTAGACCGAGGCTCATCGCGGTGTAATCGCGACTCCGAGCATAACCGTTGGCCTGTGTGCAGGAGGTACATCCCCAACAGCGGTCCCATCAATTGGCAACCACCACCCCTTATTTAACTCCATTCTTTCCTTTCCTTTTCATATTCCTTAATCATGGTTGGTGGCATGTTAGGCTGGGGCTTCCGGGCCAATGTCCAGGTGCACATGGCGGACGACAAGCACTCGAAAGAACTCACGACCAAGGACGGGTCTCGTCTCACCCTTAACGAGCTCGTCCACCACTTGGACGTCGTTGATCCCAGCAAGAAGTTGTGGCTCAACCCGCTCTTGTTCAACGGGACGTTGCAGACGTTGTACTACGCCAAACTGGACGCGCTGCAGAAGTACCAGATCTACTACGGGCGCGAGGTGTTCCACTACAAGGACGAAGGCATTTGCTCGTTGGACTGGGTGATCCCTCCTCCTGAGTCTACCGAGCAGTTTAAGCAGCAATATAAGGAGACTCTCCCCGAAGGGCTGCCCCGGTTGCACCCGAGATCGCGCTACTTCAGTGAAGACGAAATCAAGGCCAGAACTCAAGAAAACCAGGCGGATATCACCACTCCGTTAGTGGTGATTCTCCATGGTTTGGGTGGTGGTTCCCACGAGCCGTTGATTCGCAATTTGGCCGAGAATATCGCTAATAAGACCAATAATACTTGGGACTGTGTTGTCATCAACAACCGGGGTTGCTGCCGTACCAAGGTCACCAACGGTAAGCTTTTCAACGCTCTTTCTGTCGACGATATCGGCGAAGTGGTGGAAGCGTTGCGGGCCCGTTACCCTAACCGTCCTCTCTACGCTGTTGGTTTCTCGTTTGGCGCCTGTATGTTAGCCAACTACTTGGGCACTTTGCCCGACAATTCCTTGGTCCACGCTGCTGCTCTTGTCGGCTGTCCCTGGGATCTTGTTGACCTGGCGTACCACATCCAGAACTCGCTCACTGGTCGCCACTTGTTGAACCCGGCACTCACGACTTTCTTGAACAAGATTGTCAAGAACAACTTTGCCGAGTTGAACAAGCACTCGCCCTACCTCTTCTCCGAGGAGAACTTGAAGCTTGGCATGCAACAGAAGCGCACCTGGCAGTTTGACTCGGTGTACACCTGCCACACCGCTGGTTACGCCAGTCCCTGGGAATACTACCGCGAGGCGTCGCCGGCGAGACGGATCTCGAAGATCAACATCCCTACGATCGCGTTGAACTCGACCGATGACCCTGCCGTCAGTGTCAGATTGCCCTCTGAAGAAATCGCCCATAACCCGAATATGGTGATGGTGGAGACCGATTTGGGTGGTCACTTGGGGTGGGTGCAGCTGGACGGCAAGTTCTGGTGTGTCGAAGTGGTGGAAGAGTTCTTCACCTTGTTCGACGAAAAGGTCAAGTAGTGTAAATAGGAAATGAAAATATCATAGGAAGCATTTTCTGACAATTGCTCCGAAGAGGAGAATAACACATAGATTATTCAATCTGAATGAGAAAATTAACAAATTGAGTAATAAATCCAAATCAATATTTCAAACAATTTGGATTCAATAGTCAATTGGTTGAAATCTTGGGGTTGGGATTTTATACTCCTGCATGGCTTCGTGCGGGGCGCGACCTGTGGGGAAATGGTAAGAGAAACACGCCAACTTCTGTTTGGCGTAAATCATCTAAAATGTGAATGCTCTAAGTAATTTATTTCTATATCATTCTGGAACGTCGATAGCGGACTTCTAAGTTCGGGATTTTTGGAATTTGCTAGAAGTTTCTTTCGGGGGTGACCGGGATCAATCATGTGACCTAAGATTAAGTTGTGGCAAAAATTCTTGGAACTAAATAACAACTGAAAACTACAACTCGTCAGTAGTTTTGAAACAGTTTATATTTGTGATTCACCTGTGATTTACACGAGTTCATACCACACTTACGAGCGGTGACGCTATGAAAGGAACAGTCAGTACTGTTGATAAGTCTAACCCGTCTACGGCAGACGTGAGCCAAGTTGAAGCTGTCAGCGACAAGAAACCCTATATGAGAATCAATCACGGTGTTGAATATGAGGATGAGGATGAGTCTACGGACCCGGACACCAGAAGAGAACACTTTTTGGCGTGTGTTATGAGATACCTCGACCAGGACTGGCACCCTCTCGATTCGCAACAGAATCCTCGATACACCACTGACTATGAGGAGTTGCTTGGCCAATTCGAACGTGCCTGGAAGTTCCGCGACTCCATGGCCCTGGCGTTCACGTTCTTAAGGTTTGGTCCAAAAGTGACCGTTTCCAAGGAAAGAGCTGCCATCTTTGCGCAGGCTATGGAGCAAGTTCTCAGACTTGGTCACAGTCCCGATTGGAACAACAGTAGCCATGTGCAAACGTTGTACGATTGCCGCACTTTGGAAGATTTCCAGCTGGTTTTGTGGAGATGTGAATTGATTAGCCCGGGGGCATTGATAGCGAAGATCTACTCGAGGCACCATTCCGAGCCACTGTCGGATGTTACAATTGAAAGTCTCATGGACGACTGCTTGCAAGTTCCCTTCCTCTGGTCACACGACCCATACCTCCTGTGCGCTGTTAAGGCATACGCGTGGGAGCTGGCGCTTGCCTTGGGTCTCGAGGTGCTTAAGGAGCTCATGGAGCGCATTCCGAACTGGTGGATAATCCCAAAAGCTAAGTTATCTTACAAAGATCGCATTCAGTGTGAGTTAAGGGTTAACATACGTCGTCGACCGCATCCGTCACTTGTGCCTCAATCGGCAGATCCTCAAACTGAGGATCGGACGAGAGCTACAACTAAGCAGGTGCAACATTCGGGAAACAAGGTGTCAAAGAAGAAGTGGAAAAAAAGAAGACGCAATAAGTCGGGAGATAATTGCTACCGTTGCGGTGATATCATTCATTGAATAATTGTGCTTCCCGAGCCCACCAGGGAAGAACTGATTTGATTCCGCTGGAGACAATGGTGGTGAACTCCATAGCAGCGGAAACTTTTGCAGAGTCGTCCCGATACTCGGGAATCGAGTATGAGGTCTCTATTTAGAGCCAAACTTCCCACGAATCTCTGGTACCTCGTCTAGTTGGTATAATGAAGCCAAGTGATTTTTTGAGAGAAGGTACTGGGCCTGGAGTCCAAGGACCGTAAGACCGTCTTTGTGTTTATAAGCTTTTTTCTGTTTATACAATGTCTGTAACATTTATTTCTTAGGCCAAATGGAAAAAAAAAAAACTTTAAAATTATTAACCCACAGATCGTGCGAACGGCCTCAAAATTGCCTTCACATTGTAAAAATCGTTGGTGCCATTCATATCAAAGCACGTATTTGAATAAATGCGGCATTTCAGCAAAATTTTGTCCTCCCACTACGCACAATATGATTGATTTTTTCATATAGTTGAACAACTTCCTTAACCCAATGTACCCACCATATAGTGGATGGTACATCCAAGCTTTCTTTTGTTACTGGCAGATATCTATACTGGTTTTTTCTGGAGTATAGAACTACTTGAGGAACTCAAAGGAGTGTGTATGAAAGTTTTCCACTTAGATATTTTTAATGCCCATGTTATGTTATTAAAAAAAAAAATTCATACAAGCGCAAATGGTTTAGTGGTAAAATCCAACGTTGCCATCGTTGGGCCCCCGGTTCGATTCCGGGTTTGCGCATAATTTTTGCCAAACTACTGGTCACGATGCCGATTTTTAGCCTCTAACTAATATATCGAATCATTCCTACACTGATTATTCACCCAATTTCTACTACTACGAACACACTGTACTTTTTGGCTTTTTCTCCCTTGATGTTTTTTTTCAGACGCGTGTCGAGGCGCGTGCGAAATCTTCAAGTGCTTTCTTCAACCGCCATGAGTAACTTGGTCTCCTCCCCTGGCCGGCTCCGTCTGGACGCTGCCAACATGTTCCAGTCGCTGCAGGGAGGTCCGTCGTCATCGCACGGACTTGCTCTGCACTCTGGGCTCCCTCACTCGATGCTGGACGGTCACACTGGCTCCGAACCGGCAGCCCCTTCAACCATCAATGGTGTCGGCATCCCGGGGCGTCGACGCGAAGTGAACGTACCGAAAGTCGTTGATGTCACTGGTGAACGGATGTGTACTACGTTCGAGCTGTTTATCGAGGAGTATGTGCTGACAGACCCCGATGATCAAGCCAATGGGTTTGACGGTAAAGTGTACCTTGCTCAGATCGAACTGATGCGCCAATACGAATACTATACGCTTTACGTTGATTTCAAGCACTTATTGGTGGTGGAAGACGGTGTTTTCGCTCAAGCAGTGAGGGAACAGTACTATCGGTTCTACCCGTTTTTACTAAGAGGGTTGCGTAATGCGATTAAGCGCCATGCCCCCAGCCTTCTCAATACCAATATTCTCAAAATGAACAATTTGGCCGAGGAAACGCTTCTGACAGACGATACTGCGTCGCTGAACCACGCCAACACCGTCGAACGTACCCTCCAGATTGCGTTCTTCGACATGCCTCAAATTGATGCTATTCGTGACGTGCGTGCTAGCGAAATCGGTAAGCTCAAAGCCGTTCTGGGAACTGTCACCCGGACACTGGAGGTGCGTCCCGAGTTGTACAAGGGTACTTTCTCTTGTGACCTTTGTAAGGCAGAAATCTCCAATGTCGAGCAAGCGTTCAAGTATACTGAACCTACCATGTGTCCCCTGTGTGATAACCAGCTGCACTTCACGTTAATTGTCGACAAATCGCAGTTTATCGACTGGCAAAAGGTTCGCATCCAAGAGAACGCTAATGAAATTCCCACTGGCTCCATGCCGCGACTGTTGGACGTCATTCTTCACGGCGAACAAGTGGAGCGGGCTAAGCCCGGTGACAAGTGTCGATTCACTGGTACTGAGATCGTCATCCCTGACGTGGCCCAATTAGGGCTTCCGGGGCTTAAGCCGAAAGCGGTGCGGGAGAGTGTTGCGCAAACCGAAGGTGTTACCGGACTTAGGACTTTGGGTGTACGTGATTTGACTTACCGTATTGCCTTTTACGCCTGTCACGTGGCCCTGCTTGTTAAAAAAGCTAGTGATCTTGGCCACGAAATGCAAGTACAAATCCAACCTAACGTCGAAGGCGCCACTCCCGATCAACTTGAGTTCTTGAACTCGTTGTCTCTGGCGGAAATCAACCGGTTGAAGGAGATGGTGCTGGACGACCACGTCTATTCTAAGTTGGTGAGATCGGTGGCTCCCGCTGTATTCGGTCATGAAGTGATCAAAAAGGGTATCCTTCTCCAAATGCTTGGTGGTGTCCACAAGACCACAGTCGACGGGATCAATTTGAGAGGTGATATCAACGTGTGCATTGTCGGTGACCCGTCGACGTCTAAGCTGCAGTTCCTTAAATATGTGTGCAATTTCGCGCCGCGGGCGGTATACACGTCGGGTAAGGCACTGTCGGCAGCCGGGTTGACGGCAGCGGTGGTGAAGGACGAGGATCTGGGCGAGTTCACCATTGAGGCCGGGGCACTCATGTTGGCGGATAACGGTATTTGTGCCATTGACGAATTCGACAAGATGGATATCAGCGACCAAGTCGCCATCCACGAAGCTATGGAACAACAGACGATCTCCATTGCTAAGGCCGGGATCCACGCTACTTTGAACGCTCGAGCCCTGATCTTGGCTGCCGCGAACCCCATTGGAGGGCGGTATAACAAGAAGCACTCGTTGCGGGCTAACTTGAACATGACGGCTCCAATTATGTCGAGATTTGACTTGTTTTTTGTGCTTGTTGATGAGTGCAATGAACGAGTGGATACCCAGTTGGCTCTGCACATCGTCGACTTACACATGAAGCGTGACGATGCCATTGACCCCCCGTACTCGGCTGAGGACTTGCAACAGTATATCCGCTATGCGCGTACGTTTAAGCCGAAGATGACTCCGGAAGCCAGTGACTTCTTGGTGGAAAAGTACAAGGAGTTGCGTGAAAGCGACGCCCAAGGGTTTGGTCGGTCGCTGTACCGGATCACCGTGCGTCAGCTTGAGTCGATGATCCGGTTGCTGGAAGCGATTGCTCGCGCTAACTGTGCCGAGTTCATTAACCGGGCGTTTGTCGATGAGGCTTACAACTTATTGAGACAATCTATTATTCGCGTGGAAATGGACGATGTTGACATGGAAGACGACGTTGACGAAGAACAAGAACAAGACGTTGAAATGGATGAAACGGCTTCGGCCACTCCTCAACCGGTGGCCTCCACCGCGGTGCTGGAACGCAAGAAGCTTGCCATCCCTTACGATAAGTACTTGGCAATGATGAAGCTTTTGGTCAAACACGTGTCTGACGATGATACCCGCGGCGGCGAAGGCGTCACCGGCAACGACTTGGTCGAGTGGTACTTGACCCAAGTTGAAGACAGTCTTAATCTGGAGGCTGAGTACTACGACGAACGGAAATTGGCGTTCAAGGTGCTTAAGCGTTTGGTGAAGGACAAGATTTTGATGTCGATTTCCAGCTCCGACGCTCCGGGGGCGCTGGCGGGTCAAAAGGTTTACATTTTGCACCCCAACTGCTCCATCTTGGACTTTTTCGACAAACCCGCTGCCGATGACGACCAGTAAACCTGTGATGACGTATCTGAATTTCTGTAATAATAAAGTAACACTTAGGAGATAGTAAGAGAAAGAATAACTTTAGTTCTAACATTTACATTTTTTGAGATCTACGGTGGTTTGTCTTCAATAGGTTTTTGTTATAAATTGTTGGTGTCTGAATATTGAACAAGGTGATTCTGTACTTACGTATGTCATTGCTATAGTTATAATTGCACTAGTAAGGAATACCGTTAGTAATCCGTTGGAATTCGTCGTAACCCTTGGTGTAGAACGACTCCATCGACTTCTTGATCAACCCCTTAAAGTATAACGACGCCTCCTTCTCCAGCTTGTTGGGGACAAACCGCTTGCGCAAATTTCTGATGGTGTGCTCCTTGAAACAGGGCAAACCCAGCTCCAACATTGGCTGCACCGTGCGGACAATAAGCTCCATGTACGGGCGACAGGCCAAGTACCCCTTGATACACAATTCTTCGAACCATCTGAACGCCTGGGTGTCGCTCAGACCACCCAACACCAACATCATTTCGTGGGTCAACTTGAACGGCGCCGCTTCAAACTTCACCCCACCGGGGACGATATCGAAGCAGAACCCGAAATCGATGTGGAGAACGTGCCCTTGGTCGTCGTACATGATGTTACCGTTGTGTCTGTCCTTGAACTGCAACAAGAACGAGATGATGGAGTAGGCGGCCAACGACTTGACCAAGTTGGTGCGAGCCTGCTGGAACTCAATCGAGGTTTCCGGGCCGAACTTCGAGATGTAGTACTCGTACAAGCCGTTGACGGCTTCTCTACCCATCATATCTCTTGAAGTGGAGTTGGGCAACACGTCAATCACACCACAACCGGGGGCAGTAGCAGTAACCCGGTAGGGGAACACGTAGAGGTCAACGCCAGCGGCTTCCCAGATCAGTCTGAAGATAGAAATTAGTTGCAATGCCAACACATCTTGACGACAGTCGTCACCCACTTTGAAGATAGCACTTTGCCATTTCTCAATCGGGTAGGTGTGAGGCTTACCATTGGAGTCAAGTTCAGTGACATCCTTCTTAATCTTGAATGTAGCCATGAACGGAGCCTTAGCGTGCGATTGCAACGGCTTACCCAGTTTCCGGTTGATGTCGACGACCACCCCGTCAGGGTTCGAGGGCAAGTACACCCCTGGCTTGACGACAATGCGGGCCATTTCCTCGTCGATCTTGTGCTTCTTTTCCGCCTTACTCTTCTTGATGTAGGGCTTAAGCTTACCCGAGATATCCGTAACTTCAGCAAAGAAGTTGAACTCCAATTCGTAGTAGTCAAAGTCCTTCTTCGAGAACACCTTCAACATTTCCAGCTGGATGCGGTCAAGCGTTGGTTTAAGCGGGTCAGGGTCCGTCAGGTCTTCGTCACGGTACAGATTGGCCAACATGTTCCAAATGATCTGGTGAGCAAACAACTGCGACACTTGAGCCGTTTCCAAGATGAACCGTTCAACATAGCCCAAGTGGTCATGACGCAACGACTGGACAATCTGGGGCACGTAGAAGAAGGTGAGGTTGACGTCGTGCGACTCCAACAGTCTCATCGAGTACTGCAAAATGTAAGGGTCGTCACCGAAGGGAGGCAAGAACATGGTGATGGCGTCGATCGGCAGCAAAGCCAGCCACCACAACAAGTGGTGCAGACACTTGTTGGCGCCGCCGTGGATGCCAATGAAGAACTGGACGGCGTCAGGGTACGGGGTCGCCGGCAACGGGTTCTTGGTGATGATGGCCTGGAGCAAGTCGTCCAAGTTGCGTACTTTGTAGCGCAAGGCCAAGTTGACGGCCAAGATGGGGTCGAGGGCGTACAGCTTCGTTACCACTGCCGATGAGATCTGGGTATTGCCGTCAAACTGGCCTACCGTTTCCACGGGGTCCAGCGGCAGCAACCACACGGAGATGGTGTTGATTTCGTCGTCCAAGAATAAGCGTAAGATGGTACGCTTCAGCTCTAACCGTTCACGCTTCCAGCACTCGGTGTGAGACACCAACACCGCGATCTCTTTAAGCAACGAGAAGTCCAGCTTAGTCTTCAATTGGTTAGGCCCAAACGGCATTTGGGCCCGGTGGCGGAACCACGAGAGCAGCGCGTCCAACACCGTTTCCGTCAATCTCACCATCAGCCGCGTCCCCAACTTGATGTGGTACAGCAACACGTCGTAGCCAAAGCGGACTAATTCGAACCGCACCCCGCGGGCGTAAGGGTGGTACAGCGCGTGTTTCAACGCCCCCAAACCGTCGCTAACAAACTGAGTGTACACCTTAAGCAAATGGTCCAGCTGGTTCAACGTCGCCTCAAAGCTCAGAGCGAACATGCGGATGATCTTAAGGTGGGGCTCAAGCATGGTGTCGACGTAGGCGGCGTGGCGTGAGACTTGAGTGTAGTTCAGCGGCGCGTACTCCATCTTGGCGAATTCAGGGTTAGGGATGTCGAACTCCTTGGAGAAGAGACCCTGGCAGTTGACAATCAGGATGTTCCAGTGTTTACCGATTTCGGCGATAAGCAACGGCGGCAACAGCAGTTTCTTTTGGATTAATGCGAACCAGATCAGGATGGCATAGCCAACAATCTCCAGCTCAAACATGGCGAAGGGCACTTCAACAAGGTAGCGGCACAACTCACCGGTATTGTCTTTGCTCACAAGTACGGTACCGGCAATATCGGCAAGTACTCGCTTCACCTTAGCGACATCGGCTTCGCCAGTGGCCCGGTAGTGCTCGCGCACGGTAAACACCAGCTGGCGGATCTCGTCGATGCTGATGTTGTCGTCAAACACCGACTCGACGGTCAGGTTCATCCACAGCAAGTTGTTGATGAACCGGGGCAAAGTGTTGAGCTTAGCCACGGGGAATCTCAGCACGTGCGAGAGCTCAGGGTCCAGACCGGTGACCAGCCCGGCTAATTCAAGGGCAAACGCCGAGCCAAATTCAAGCAGGTCGGGGCTGGGGGCACGCATGATCTGCAAGTACTGCTGGATCAACAGTTTGACGTCGATGGCACACTTGCGGAGGGCGTGGCGCAGGTACAGCTTCGCCTTGTCGTGGAGGCGGTTGAATGTCAGCTGGCGCCACAGCATCTGGTCCAGCAAAAGCAAGGGGATGCCAGTGGTCCGGGTAGTGTGCTTGGGCTGCAAACTGTACTGGTGGATGTCATCGTCAACCAACGAGTCCAGCATCACCGTCAACAAGTCAAACATAGTGAAGAGCAGCTCGCGGTGGGCTAACGCCAGCGGCAATCTCAGCACGAGCTTATCGCAGCAAGCAAAAGCGGCGTCCTGAGTCTCGGGGACTCTAAAACAGGTGAGAGTCATCAATTTCGTCAATTGGTGGGCGACGGCGTCGCCACTAAACTGGCTGTTGGCGCCGCAGCGGACCAACCAGATGTAGTCCTGGACAATCCGATAAGCGATGGGCCCGATGTAGATGTCCACACCGGAGATCTTCATCAGCGGGTCGCTCAAGTAGGTCAAAATCGTCAGACAGTCGCCCAGTTTCACCCGTAACAGCTCGACGAACACTGTGGCCAGCAAGAACATGAGTTTGGCGTACAGCAACGTTCTGGGAACTTCGAAGATCTGGCCAATAATATGCTTGTGATCCTTCAAGTTGTGGTTACTCAGCCCCTTACGCAAGATGGTGTTGAGCTCCAACGACGTCTCGGTACGGTCCCACGAGAGCTCCAGCGCCAACGGAGGCAGGTTCAGTGCCATCCGCTCGAGCTCGGGGCCGTGGCGCTTGGCGACGGCAGTGGTGATCGAGTAGCCGTGCACCACCATGTTGAACCAGGCGTCGCGGTAGAGACCGACAATCTCCACTCTCAGCTGGTCCCATTGGAGGGGCTTCTCTCCCTTGGCAGTATTGGGTAACAAGTTAGCCAACGGCTTAAGGTAAAGAGCGATGTGCTCGCCAATCTCAGAGATCTCGCCGTGCAGACGGTGGTGCTCCAACTGATTGACTTCCCCTTGGGAGATGATCGCCAAAAGTAACTCCTTAAGGTAGAGATAGTAAAGGTCACCTTTAGTCTTGGCTAAGTTGTGGCCCAACGTTACTTCAGCGTCGTTCAAATTGCGGAGCAACGTCAGTTGTTTATCGACCCAAGCATCCAACGAGAGTCTAAAGAGCAAACGGGTCATAATGATAAACTCCTTTTCCGGAAGCGAGGGAGCCACATTGACCATCCCCTTGAGCAATAAGGGACCAATCACCAGTTGCAAGTACAGCGTCTTCTGCGACAAGATGGTCACGGCAAGCGTCAGCACCACTTCGTCATTGCACCCTTGGCAAATCTCAATGATCCCCGTAATCAGGTTTTCGCATACCACCTCGTAATCGTCTTCATCGGTGTTGAACGTGCCTTCGCCGGCTAAGTGCAGAGTATTGGTCAGCACCCGGCCCAACCGGTTCAGGTCCAGCCGCGACAAGTGGGTGGTCTTTCTCCGCAAGATGGTGGAGCCGTTTTCCTCGACAAACAACAAGTTGGTGAGGGCATAGATGGTAGTGATCACGGCGTCCTGGTGGAGCACCCGCAGCGCTAACCCCACTGCCCGCAGCGCCTGGAGACAGTAGCCGGTATCGAAGTTAGGGTTGGCCGCAAGCGCCGTGAACAGGCGTGTCAACAGCGACCCCACCGAGTCGTCCTTAAACACAAGAAGTGCCCCTAATTCAAACGCGGTGAGGCCAAGATCAGGGTCCAACATCACGTCCTTGATTTCAAGACAGTTCTTAAACAATTTGCGGGCGACTTTGACGTCGACTTGGTCGCAGAACGTGCCACACGCCACGATCTGGAGCGAGTACAGCTTCGCCATGTACCCCAAACGCAACCGGTTGTAGGTCAGATAGACGATATACTCTTCGCCTTTATCCAAGAACTCAAGCTTGCGGATAGCGACTTCGGAAAGAGCCCGGATCATATCCATGTGAAACGACAGCACGTTAGCAAGGGTCTGCGGGGCGGCTTTATCGGTAGCGGTAGCTGCCGCCAGCTCCAACAACTCAAACAACATGCCGTGAGTCTTGTACAGGCCTCTCTCGCTGGGGAAAAGGCACAGGCGGACAACATTACACATCACCATCGCCAAGTACTCCAAGTACAAGATGGGAGAGAAATCGGAGCAAATGTCGCGGTCGAGGAACACGCCGTAGTCGTGGTGGGCCTGGTCGGTGTAGATGTGGTTGGAGTACGTTTCGGCTTCCTGTAAGAACTCATAAGTGTCGATCTTAGCGTCCAAGTTGGTGAGCAATTTGAGGGTGGAAGTGTCGATAGCCAAGAAACCCGCTTCGACAGTCAACCCTTGCATGTATCCAAGCAACGTGAAGTAGTGGGAGAGCTGGAGTTTCTGTTCAAACACGTGATCTTGGAACTGGCGGAACACGGTGATGACATCGTTTAAGTACTGGCGGTTACACTTTTCCGCCAAATTGATTAAAGCAACGGTGAGCTTCTCGCCAAGGTACAGCCACGGCAGGGCGATATCCTGGCGCAGACACACGTTGGCGGCAAACTGTTGTTGGGGCAACTCCAACAAGTAGACCTTGAATTTCGCCACTAACTGGTCGACAAGCTGAGGCTGGTGGATGGGGGAGCTGGTGGCGTCACAGAGACCCACCAAGGTATCGAATTCCTTCGGTCCCATGGCGACATTGGCGATTTCCAGCGCTTTAACGAGGCGGTTGAAATCATCGTTGGTAGTGGCGGTAGGGGCCAGCGGCTCGCTCACGGCAAGCAGAGCAAGCTTGGCCAACGCGTCCTGGCGCAACTTGCCCGGAGAAACACCAAAATAGTCCATAGCTAAGGAATTCCGTCAATGGCTTCTGGTGCTAATTGGTTAAGGAGAAATTGTGGGGGGGACCGCGGTGCTGATTTATTTCGCGAGGGGGCACGCAACCCGGTTTCACATGGCTGATTCCCCATTAGGAAGGAGGCAACTGGGTTACGACGAAAGTAAGAGATAGAGTGGGAGTAAGCGGGGAGGGTGCCCTTCAACCGAGGGTACGAGTTTCTTTTGCCAACCGTAGGTGGAGTAAACGGTGGAGTAAACGAGGTGATTGTAAAATGCACCACGATCCGAGATAATGTAAGTGTGCCTGTCCATTTGTATTTAATACTTATAAGGCCAAGAAGCCACATGACTAAGATGACTACAAAGACAAAGCCTGTAAATCTTTCAAAACATCTATGAAACAAACCTCTTATTTGAAACAAACCTCTTATTTGAAACGATCTAGTTTTATTCTGAAATCATGGTAAAGTTGTGAATTTTTCGCGGTGCTGGTTCTTGACTATCCTCGTCCTGTGGTTTTCCCCGGTAGGGCTGGCTGTGCATCGGGGAGGGCGCGCACCAGGCGCATCGAACCAGTGTGGCCACGACTATCGCTTCCCCATCGCCGCGCAGTCTAGACCCACCATGCCGTTGTGTGGAAGCGCTCCCAATACGAGTACGTATTTACCAAAGCATACCACCCAGGTATTGTCGTTGCTGATACTGTTCGCGCCGTTTTGGCCCGGTTTGTCAGCGTTGTTTTGATCTCTACTAACACTCTTAGTCCAGCGCAAAATCGTCATCTTGGGGGACGGGGCGTGTGGCAAAACGTCGTTGTTGAACGTGTTCACCCGAGGCTACTTCCCCCAGGTCTACGAGCCCACCGTGTTTGAAAACTACGTCCACGACATCTTCATCGACGGCAAACAGATACACTTGCTGCTCTGGGACACCGCCGGCCAGGAAGAATTCGACCGGTTGCGGCTGTTGCTGTACGCCGACACCCACTGCATCATGTTGTGCTTCTCTATTGACTCCCCGGACTCGTTGGAGAACGTCCAGCTGAAATGGGTCGGCGAAATTACCGACCACTGTGACGGGGTCAAATTGGTATTGGTGGCGCTCAAATGCGATTTGCGGCTGACCGACGACCACGACGACCCCCACCACCCGGAAGACGACTCGTTTAACCCTTACGGCGGCCAGCAGAACCCAAGACGGTTGATTACTTATGACGAAGGGTTGGCGATGGCGAAGAAGATCGGCGCCCTCAAATACATCGAGTGCCTGGCGAAGAAGAACCGAGGGGTCAACGAAGCGTTTTCTGAAGCCGCCCGGTGTGCGTTGCACGCCAGGCCAGCGGGTCTGAACGAACAGGAACCGGAAAAGAAGGGGTGTGTCATCGTGTAAAATGTACTAATAAAATGAAGGGGCAGTGCCCCTCAGTGTTATGGCAGTAATTGTAGTGCTTCAAGATTCAGCCGTGTCGGTAACAATAGGACGTCTGCTTATGTCGGCGGTGACATAATCAGTCTTTATCAGTTTCATCAAAGATAAAGAAATAGAGCTCCGGAAAAATAGTTTGAATTGATAGACTACTTGATTGATGATAAGGCCTTTCTAGAGTGAAACTTTTCAGGACTAAATCACGGTAATAAATTTGCTTGTGATAAGGAAAACTTGCGACTTTGCTAACAATAAGTATATGATCGTTTTTGATCAAAACTGCAAATTATATATATATTTATTTGATCCAAAATCGATAGTCGTCAGCAGATCATTGATTTCTACATGATTTCGTGGCTTATGATAGGTTTGGTTGCTATCTCGAGGTCTGGAGTCCGCATGGCTATGGGACTTCTAAACGAATCGAAAAGCAATGCTTTTACAACTTTATAGGATCCGACGTTAAGTTTCTGTGATACCTGGTAAGATCATACTCAAATTTTGCATGTTCAAGGATTGGAAGCATTTGAGATATAACGGTTATGGCCTGGCGATTGACTCAAGTTCCTAATAGATCGGCTAAATCTTCTTGACTGTAAATCCATCTTATACTACATAGCATCAATGAATCACTCGCTATCTTCAGTTTAAGGCTGGCATTAACTTGAAATCGACGAATGTAATCTATCAATAGTCTCCACTAATAATCACGCAATTTACACTAAGTACCAGCCTTTTACTCTCATCATACTCTCATCACAATCATACAACGTCCCACACTCATCCGTAACCTCGTGATTATTGTCATTACTATATACATGATGTTCACTTGAAGGGGTCGATCTTCTCCGTCCGCATGTCCCACACGTCCTCGCTCAGCCCGCGAGCTTTATCCTCCATCAACCGCTTCTTATAGAAGTTTTGGATCTTGGCCCGCTGGTCAAGCTCCTTTTCCAGCATCTCCCACACCGGTTTGTTTTGCTCGGTCATGGTGCCGTTAGTGATGGCAAACCAGAACTTTTCCCGCTGGCGAATACAGGCATCGTAAGTACCATAGCGGTAGTACAGTTTAATCTGGCCACCAAGGGCAAAGCACCCCAAGAGCTCGTCCAAGGCGGTGACCACCAGTAACGAGCCCGGGTAGTCGTTGATCGACGTCAGGTCCAGGATCGCCTGGGTGATCTTTTGTCGCCGTTGTTGGACTTCCTCGGGAGAGTCCTGGAAAAGCTTCCAGATCTGCTGGAGCTCAGCCTCTTCGTTATCTTCCTTATTCGACATTCAATTAGATTTAATGCTGGGATGGTAGCGCGACAACGGCGATGGTTCAACTAGTGTTTCGAAAAGGTGAATTGATGGTGCGCGCGCTTTATACAGGACCAGGCAATTTTTCACTTTCATCAACCTAGAGGATGTTCCAATTCGGGTGGACCAAACCGTGGACACCCGTGGCCCTAGCGCTGCGGACGTTGTCCTACCTTTCCAAGTTGGCGCCCAACGAAGGTGCCACCACTGCCTATAAGCGGCTCGGGCGTGGTCCCGCTTCCAAGGGTCAAAAGTCCGGTCGGGGTCAAAAGGGTCAAAAAGCCCGTGGTAAAGTGCCCCACTGGCTCGAAGGGGGTCAGACCCCGTACTACAAGCGGTTCCCCATTGTTGGGTTCAAGAGACCTCACCGTCGCCACTTAAATGACTTGAATCTCGAGAGAATTCAAGAGTTCTGGAACGCGGGCAGAATTCCCTTAAAAGCGGGGGAAACTTTGACCATCAGAATCATGAGAGAGTGTGGTTTGGTTACTGGTTCGTTGCGTGACGGGGTTAAGGTGTTGGGTGTCGGTAAACAAGAGTATAACGTACCGTTGAAGATCGAAGCCAACCGCGCTTCCGAAGACGCCATCGCTGCCATCGAGGCTGCCGGTGGTGAGTTCACCGCTCAGTACTTCACCAAGTTGTCGCTCCAGGCCCACGTGTTCCCGGAACGGTTCTTGCTCAAGAAAGGGTACGTGCCTTTACCCGCTCGCCCCACCCACCGCAGAGACATCGAATACTACGCCAACCCGGATAAGCGCGGGTACTTGTTGAAGGACCGGCTGCTCCTTTTGGACCACATGAAGCTGGAAAAGCTGACGGGCGTGCGGTCGCTGAAGAAGCGGTCGGCGTTGGAACTGCAGTTGGACGCCGCCAGCGAAAAGCACTACGGCGACTTCACCGAAAATAAGGTGGTGTCGGTGCACGACTTGTAAATAGCTAATGGATACACGGATAAGACGATGGTGTAGTATGATCGATAACGATACCCAATATCCTCTCATCATTAGCAGCTTGAGATCCATCGCTACGAGGAGTAACTCAAAGAATTTAGTATCTTGATCGACTCCCAATTGAAGCGATTGAGATTCGGTAAGTGGTTGATACCCGCAAATAACAGAGATTTGTTCGAAGACGATCCAGATATTGAACAGAAAACTAGTCTAACCTAACGTAACATTTTGACCGTATAGAACGCATTCATTACTTATCAAACGTTGAATCGATCAGTGTTTCAACTCATTTATCACGACGAGGGAATGTCGAGCTCTTTTGGGCTAAATTCACTCTGGGTAACTTGCACCACTGGCGAGTGTTTTGAAGGACATAAATGGCATGTACAGCTTGGCGATCGGTTGTACATTCTCTCTGTAAAACAGATCATATTTTGATCAGCATTCTTTAAGTTCCAAAAGTTTAAATTTACTCTGATGCACTGGTAAACATTGTTTCCTAAAGCGACTTGCGCCTAACCGATGAATCGTCGTGTGATTCTCATCCGAAGAAAATGTCAATGAATTATTTGAGTCTCACTTCGTGACAATGTTGACGGACCTTGAGTATTAAGCAAAATGAAGGTAAAGTCCCACAACCGAACGAGATCTCGTCATTTCAAATGAAAATGTAAGCGGTGATGGTCTAATTGTAGGAAGGCTTTCGCTTCTAGCATTTATGCGTCATGATTGAAATTCAACAAAAAGTTAGGAAATTAATTTACAAATTTACAGAATTCGCAAAAATTTCCGAAATTATTTCGATTTGTTCATTTTGAATCTATAATTCCGTTATCTATCGTAAAACTCGTTAGGCCGACTTGTGGGTGTCGACCAACTTGCCGGCGGCGTCCTCCTTGATGTCGCCCAAGTACTCGTACAACACCGACAAGTCGCGGTCGGCGATGTCCTTGTGTTCACACCCCTTGTCGTACCAGTAGCGAGAGGTTTCGCCCAAGTACAACGGGCGGTGGTACTGTTCGGCCGAGTTCAACGCCAACACCAAGTCCTTACGGGTCAACTTGGTGACAAAGCCACCGTGGTAGTCAGCATCCGAAGGCAATTGCGCTTCGGGGTAGACGCCGGGGATGGGGCAGTTGTCGACCGACGCCCACGACTTACCGGTGGACACGGCGATGATCTTAGCGTACTTCTTCGGGTCCAAGCCGAACGACTTAGCCAATTGGAACGAGTCACACACGGCCAAGTTGGTCACGGCAAGACAGTAGTTGTTGGCGAGCTTAGCCCCCAACCCGGAGCCGGGGTTGGCGCCACAGGCAAAGATGTTCTTACCCATCTTGTTCAACAAGGTGACGAAACCGGGGGCGATCTCGGACTCGGTGGCCTTGGAAACCATAAACGTCAACGTCCCGTTTCTGGCACCAGCAACACCACCGGACACGGGGGCATCGATGAACGAGAAAGCGGGCACTTCCTTAGCGACGTAGGCAGCAGCACCGGCAGAAGTGGGGATATCGATGGTCAGAGAATCGACGAAAGTGGTGGGGTACGAAGTGTTACCGGCAGCTTTGAAACCGGCGACCAATTCCTCAGTAACGGCTTTAACGTGCTTCCCTTCAGGGACCATCAGCACGATATAGTCGAAGGAGTCGATCTTCCCGAAATCGCCAAGCAGGGTCAAAGCGGTCAACTTGTCCTGGTTTTCGGGCTTTAATTGAGTGACGTTTTGCACAAATTGATTAGTCGCCTGAGGCACGGTGTCAAACACGTACAACTTGTCGGTGGCGTCCAATTTGGAGTAGATGTGGCGGGCCATGTGCTGGCCCATTTGGCCGAGACCGACAAACCCGTAGTTGGCCTTGAGGGGAACGGAGCTGGAGAGAGAGCGCACGGAGGTTCTGAGCATGGTGGTGCAGTGGTCGGTGTATGTGTGTGGGGGGGTGCCTCCTTAAATACTTTTTCACGCTTCGGTTACTCGTCGGATTCTTGTGTGGGGTACGCGCCAGGCACCGGCGGTTACTGGCGGCACTTCTAGAGGAGACAAAGCAAACTGCTCTAAAGAACTCTAAACACTAGTTAGACTTAATCTTGATTTTCTTCTAATGGTCCGTTGGTTTTAGTTGAGATTAGGTCGGGCTGTTTGGTCATGGGGCTGGTGGTTAGGGTCACGAGGGTGACACTTAGACGCCATGCCCTCGGATGAACGTTTGTGTAATTCGTATTTACTGTAACGTTACCGCCTGATTCCAGTTTGCCATTAACCTCCGTGGGTATTAGCCTCCAGATCAGCAGTAACCGACGGGGGCCCCATTTTCCATTGCCGATAGTCGCAGATACCCCGGGAATCGCCCTCCCAATTGTGGGGGTGCAGAAAGCTTCGGACAACAGTGATATTTGACTATAGACTGTATTATTGATGTTTTGTTGATGGTTATTTCATTGATTGTAAATCGCTCGTGACCGGGATCGACAAGTGTTGGTGGTGGGTGTCGTGGCCCGAAACCCACCCGCGATTATTCCGTGGCAGGTGACCGTGGTAGTAACCGTGGAACCTGGGGAGGGGTAAGGCGCGGTGCGCGCGCGCACGCCCCTCCGCCTTAAAGTGGTACAAACTGACCTAAAGTATGGAGGCCATTATGGGGAGTAATGTGGTAGGAAATAACACCTAAATGATAGTGCATCGGAGTGTACGACATCTAATTCATCAATGCCGTGGTTTAGTCTTCGATTTTGGTGGTAAACTCGATCAGTTTGGTGCTATTGTGTATTGTATGCTGAAAAATAGCAACAGTTGTCGGACTTTTTTCCAGGTTGACTGCCAGGGGCTGCGAACCCCGGTACCGGCATGCACCCATACGTGGACGCCAGGCAACCACCGCCTCTCAAGGTCATTTTAAAGAGGCGTATTTGCACCTCTGCTCAATTGTGGCTAATATCTCGATGACGCCATTGTTCAAACCCCGAGCATCGGAGGTAGCGCCCCGCGCGATCACTGATTAGCCGCTAACGCCCTCCACTGCCTCAGACTCCACGCGATAATAAAGGCCACAAAATCCCCTGTCTTTAAATCCAACCATTGTCCAAAATCACGACTGACCCCAGTTTGTTCCTCCCCCTTTTTCAGCCGTGTCGCCATTGCCTGCCTGGTATCGGGCGACGCCGTGAACGCCGCGTTTGTTTATCTATGTCTACCCCACCGCGGCGCCGTGGCGCCACTCCCCACACATAAAGGCACCAATTTATTAATTGAACCACCATAATGTCATCAGCTCAGAGCTCGCAAACCCCGACCAAGACCACCTACGGCTTGCCCAAGCCGCAAGCGGCTTACTATCCTCACCCCGGGTCGAAGCTCTATGCCGATAAGCAGTTATACGACAAGATCCACCAGGCGCCCAAGACAAAAGTGCTGAGCCACTTGTGCGCCCCGAGACTGGGGATTGCCGTGAAAGTGCCCGCTCGCTCAGTGTTCCGTCTCGTGACTCCCGAGGGACCCCAGGTGTGTGATCTTAATATCTGGAACGCCGATAATCCCCGCGAGAGGTTCTGGGCAGCGAGAACCCGCCAGATTCATCTGGCGCACGTGCTGACCCATGACCGCCTCTGGCTGAACTTACCCTATTTACGCCCATTAGTAACGATCACTGGCGACACGTTAGGCGGGCGCCACGACGAACACGGCGGGCGCATTAACGACACGTTGGGGACGCGGTGCGACCCCTATATCGAGAAATTGATCCTGGGCGAGGACGTCGACTTCCACTGCCACCTGAATCTTGTTAGGGCGGTTTTACCGTTTGGCTTAACTGAGTTTGATGTCCACGATGTGTTAAACGTGTTTCAAGTCACGGGGCTTAACGAGTACGACCAGTACTTTATGGAGGCCCTGCCGGCGACTAAAGGCGACTACTTTGAGTGTTTTGCCGAACAGGACCTCTTGGTGGCGATTCTGGCGTGTCCCGGTGGCTCGCTCGCCAATTGGGGGTGGGGTGAGGGTGAGGACGATTATGAGATGAAGGACGACTGTAAGCCGTTGCTTCTCGAAGTGTATAAATTGGACGATGAATCCGTGCTTGACTCGTGGTCGGCCCCTGAATATGCTCCGTACAAGGGTGCCCACGGCCTCCGTGACTCAACGAAGTAACGATAATAAACTCTAAGCCCTAGACTTCCCAAAGTAGTAGTATTTCCATTAGTGGTAGGCGTTCGTTGATACTAGAACCAATAAGCGAAAATGCAAAGAATTAGTGGCATTGATTGTAATAGGTTAAAGCATTTGCCAGAACCAACTAACAACATCTGAAACTGGTAATCGAGAACTAGGGGTCAATTCTAGACTTCAGTGCTTCGATGTATAACTCTATAAGTATCTATTAAATAGTACCGTCGATCGATTGGCCCACCCAGTCGCTAATCATATCGTTGGTAATGAAACCGGCGATATCACTACCTTTATAGTGTAACCCACCTTGTTGAATACGGTCACGCAAAAACTCCACCAGCAGCTCGATGGTTTGTTTCAGCACTGGGCCTTTAGTGTTGGTAAATGTCAATTCCATGTTGTCAACGATGGCTCCCTTAGCCACGTCAAACTTAAGCGAGAATCCAAGCTTTTCATTAGTTAAAGTATGGGTAAACTTGGGAGTATGGCCAAGTCTCCAACTATCGTCTTTGAGCTTCTTGGCAATCTCCAATACTTCTGGTGGGATATCGGTAGCCTTAGAGATGGTAATGGTATCGCAGTGCTTGCTGTTAGCCTCATAAAAGTCACCCAACCCCATCATATCGTTCTGGTCAATCGCCAGTTGCATTTCATCATCCACTTTAGCTTCGCTACCGAAATGGCGTTCAAACTCAATGATCACTTCATCGATGAACCGTTCGCGATCGACATGAGTGTTGGTGACGGGAGATTTCACCAGATCAATCGATTGAGTCTCGATTATGCCCAATGATGGATCACGGGCTAACACACCCCGCAACACCTCCAAGTTAGAGTTTAAAAGCATGGTGCCGTGGTGGTAACTGCGTCCCTTCGATATTTTGTATGCTGAGCCACTGACTTTGAGGTTATCGGCTTTAGTCACGATATCTCCGCGGTCATTGACTTTAACTCCCTGATGCAAACGATTCATGGCATTGGCAACTAGCTCAGCGAAGAACATGCGGTCAAACTCTTGTTTCGAGGTCATAAACAGGAAATTGATGTTCCCTTGGTCGTGGACGACGGTGCCGCCGCCAGAATTGCGCCGTACGAGTGTTACTCCAAGGCGATTGAGAGCGGGCATGTTTACCTCCTTCCACGGGTTCTGGTTCTTGCCAATGACCACGCACGGCAGGTTGACGTAGAACACAAGCCGCTTCAGCGAAGGGGGCATGTTATGGTAGATATAGTCCTCTAGGGCGAGGTTGATGAATGGATCATGATGACGCGATACCACCACCGTAGGAGTCTCTGAGGTAATAGCCTCAAATGGGAATGGTTCAACAACAGCTTCTTCAACTGATTCAGTAGTTCTTTCGATGTCATGAGGGTTAGGAATAGAAACATTGGTAGTGTTGGCAATTTCGTTTAACCGCACCAATACCTCCGAAAACTGCTGATTGTGCTTTTTCAACTGGTCCACCTGTTGCTGGAGCTGTTGACGAAGCTGGCGGGCCTGTTCTATTTCCGTTTGCAATTGTTGTTGAGGCGGAGACGGCGGCTTAGCGGGAATTGCCGAGGACGGCTCGTCGTCACCGAGCTCCTGGAGGAGGGCCAGCGTCGCTCCTAAGCCGGAAAGGAGGTTAGCATTTGCTGCCCGGAAATGGATGGAACGAGTGGTTTGAGCTAGCGGCACCGTGAGCCTTCGGGACGACGCTAGCATGCGATTTTGGGTATGTGGGTTTCGATGGGTGTTTGCAGCACCAGCCTTTCTGCGAGGGAGTCCTCTGCAGGACGTAACGTCACTCGCGACTTCGACCGCCCAACCAAAAAA